GCAATTGTTAGGGTCAAATCCCCAATAGCCTTTTTATTTCTGTCACACTCCTTCTCATGCTTCAAACAGTTCTTGTCTACAATAGCTTCCAAGTCACGAACTCTGTTCCTAAGGCCCCGATTTGAACTACGTAGCTTTGCTAACTCATCCTTAGTGCTTTCTAATTGATGCTTCAACCTGCCAAAGTCATTAAAAGACCCTTTGCCCTGCATAAAGTTATAATGCAACAGTTAGAAATCTTACAAAAGATAAGAAAACTATTTCCACTTCTTTCGTATCGTATTCTCTACATTTTCACAACATTGGAAAAAGGTCATGCTCACCTTAGAAGAGGAGGGAAGGGTAGTTGTTTCCTCAACATCCGCCTCTTTTTCTTCACTAGAAGTGCTGGTTTTGTCTTCGCCCTCATCCCCAAACAATTGAACAATTTCTTCATTGTTCTCATCATCACCCCAACTCCAGTAAGGTTGTTGCTTCTCAATATCAGTCGGCCGGAGAAGTTGCACATCAACCTCCATTTGAAACACATCTAATAAATCAATGAACTTTTTACTTGTTCCTAATCATAACCTGAGTAATACAAACTGATCTAACCTCAAAGTTTTCATAAACCTGACTCATAACCTCCCAAAAACGGGCCACCGTGTTGCTCCTCCAATGTAATATTCGAGGGATGTGCCTATTGTCTTCATGGACCGTGAAATGCAATGCTTCCAATGCTGGGAAGACTTCAAAAGCCCAAATTTGTTGACAACAATCAAACATCAAAATCTGTACATGTATTTAAATGAACTAAAACATTGTTGGATATGTGTTCACCTGAAGAGCGAAGCCAAACCCCCTTATGATGTACTCTCTAGCTTTACTGCATTCCATTCTTGTCTGCGCTCTCTTCTTCCCACGTTTGTTGGGCTTTTTTCTGTTTTGGGGCACCTTCACTCGTTGGTAATCAGGAGAAACTGCCCTCAAAAGTGAAGCATTTGTCATCGCACATGACACGGCACCCTATGGATACTTGTCAAACTCTTCTAAGTCTTCGGCCAACTTCAAATAGCGCATGTCAATAAGCACATGCTTTTCAGTACCCAATAGCACAAAAATGGCAAAATAGACCATTCCAAGCTTTAACGCATCGTCATCATCTGTGCACTCGATAAAGGCAGTGTGTAGGTCCAAAAGGGTGGGAGGTTTATTGCTACTGAAGTATTTTCGCTTCAAGGAGCAGTTTTCATTTGTCGCCTTCGGAATGAAAGGGAGCTTTCCGAACCTTAGGCCCGTGATGAGGCAAAAGTGTTGGGCTGTGAATTGTATCAACTTGTTACCCACAATGAATTTTATCCCGTTCACCTGTGTAACTGTCTTAGGATCAGCCTTCCTCATCAACAGCCCGTGGACAACTTGTGAATTCCACTTCAGGTCCTCTATCAGTAATAGATGACCAAAACAACTCCCCTCGAACCTCTGTAACTGCTGCGTATTGAACTTCGCCTTTATTGTTGTAATGGCGGTCCTTGCGTGTGAAAGGGCAAATGGCTTTCCTTCGTACTTCTCATCCTCAGGAATCATAAGCTTTGCTTTACAAGCCATTCTAGAGTTCCCTGCACAACAACATCATACATATGGATCATTGGTTACCCATATTTCATACGTACATTACTCAAACTAATACTTTCAAGTCATTTAATATATGTATATACATATGACAAAACCAGAATTGTTTTGAAGCCTCTTTTCTACTCTCCAACTCTCTCCACACTCTGCTGTTATCTACATTCCCTTCTACAAAATCTATATTCGATTCCATCCAAAAACCAAATACCACCCAAGTGTGAAAACAAGTTCATGAACCACGGATCCACTTCATACAAGGTTTTGGCGAAATGGCTACAACAATTACTCCAAATGCATCAATGCGTACTAAAATCTACTCATTACCATAGTCATATACATGTCTACTCATGGAACATCAGTATTGGCAGTTATGGACTCTGTGTACAAACTAGACACGTCAAAATGTTACTGCAGCTGCAACTGCTAAACATAGCTGGATGAACATGAAATTTCTAAACAGATACTAAAGCCCAAGAAAATACCATTTTCAGACATATATGACAAGCTGCAAGCAAGGACTAACAACAAAATTTAGCAGGTTTTATAGCACAGGGAAAAGAAACATCCCACGCCAACTTACATTAGTATTTCAAATTCACATAATTAACCATTAAGACTGGAAGGGTGCAAAACTATGCTACTAGGTGCTGAAACAGCAATGATACCAACAAATTTACTTATGCATTATTACTCAACAGCTAATTTAGGGCCTAGTGAGGTAAACCTGTGTTATAATGGAATAGCCATTGCCACCAGAATAAATTCCCACACTAAATATGCATCATCAAATGGAAGTGAAAACACGCATCACAAACGAACCAATCCCAGATGACAAATACCAACTTAAGGCACTTCATCGTCCACAGAGCAAAATCAATACACCAATACAAGTTTCATCCAAGCATGAAATAATTCACAGTTAAAATACATTATTATTGCAATCTCTGTAATTACTAAACTTCACAACATCAGTCACAGGTTACTGAAATTATCCTTCTCAAATGAAAACCATACAAATGCACAAACTAGTCAATAACAAATACAAAACCAACCTTAGAATCACTCGTTTTGTGCACAGAACCGAATTGGAAATCCGAGCAACACCTACAGAAAATCGTGATTTTTGTCTCTGACAGGATTGAGCAGGAGGAGGAAGTATGTGAACTAAGTCTGAACCGAAACTAGGATTTAGGGTTTTTTGAGGCCCTGAAGGAGCAGAGGAGAAGAGAAAGACTTCGATTCAAGACATGAAAAGAGAGGGAACTGAGAAATCGTTTAAGGGAGATAACATTTAACGAAGAAACCCTAAACGTCAATAACCGCCTCCCCAAACCCTAACATTGACGGCAGAGAGAGAACGAGAGAGTGCTGCTTAGATTTTGGGGACAGAGGGAGACATAGAGTGGTGGTGGCCGCTGGAGAGAGAAAGCGCCGACAGAGAGGAAGAGACGACCGTCACACAGAGCTGAGAAAGACAGAAGTGTTAGGTCGCCAATCCATGGCCAATAACTCCCCAATAGATATGTTTTTATATGGAGGGCACTTCGGTCATTTCACGTCCCCAAGTGATTATATTAGAATACAATTTGTAGCCTGATTATTTCAGCACACTATTTCTGATTTGTGATTACACCAGCTTATTTCCCTTTATTTTTTTGAGGAGAAACGATAGTGAATTATTGATAGGAGGAGAACCAAGATTACAGAATGGTCCGACAATATCTCAAAGGTTAGATGAATTTCTCTAGCAGAACCAACAGAGTAGAGAAAACCCGTCACCCTAAAAAGCTTCCCGTACAAATTAACGATTACAATTCTCAAACAAGACATCAGAAATAAAGTCTAGGGGTTCTTCAAACCAAGTTACATATACCAATAGTGTACTCTTGTATTCGTATAATACTTATTTTTGAGTAATTATAGTGTGGTATTGGAGTAATGTATAATTTATCTACGTGTAACCTCCCAAACTATAAAGAATTTTTCTAATTCATACATGATTTGTCGGACATTTACAAACGCATACACAAACTCCTAAAAATCCTACATTTAAACCACTTTGTTAACCAAACATTAGCAAAGACAATTAAATGCCTAGGTGGCTATCGTTTGCATTTTATAAAAATAAAAAATAAAAAATAAAGAATTATAAGCCTAAAAAACAACGTAACTTTGATCATTAACACAGATCAACATAGAAATTTAAAAATAAAGAAAGAAGTTACAATACCATATTAATATTATTGCATGCGTACTTGCATTTTTGTTTTCGTTTTAATATTGAATGCGAATGGCCCTCGAAGCCTTCACTAATTGAAAGGGTAAAGCATGTCATAGAGCCGGCCTTCAGCATATGGCACCCAGTAATAAAGAGTCTAAATTATTTTTAAATTAATACAGTTTAAACGATGATCAATCTTTAATGGTTACAGCAAAATTTACATATCCATACTGTCGATTTTTTCAAAGGCATTAGTTATCTCTCTTTGAGGCTGTAAAGGGCTGAGTGTAGTTACATAATTATCCTTGATTTTCAATCATAATTAAATAGAGGGTTTATCTAGGCCTTAAGCAAGCTATAGAAAATGAACTCCCCTAAGTCACCATGTCATTGCTCTCCCTTATCATTTTCTCAAACATTTGTTCCATTGCTCAAGCTTAAGTTCCCACAAATCAAACTTTCAAGTTTTTCAAGAGAGGAGAGTTTGAAGATCCTCTCCAAGGATATATATACCATTTCCTAACTATTCTCTTGTAGAATATGATGCTACATATCGAGTTCTCAATGTTTCTAACTACCCCCTTCAACTTTGCTTCTACAACACCACCCCCAACACCTTCACTCTTGCTCTGCAAATGGGAATTTCTTCAAGTACTTAAAACCACCCTTGCTTGGGTTTGGGAGGTCAACCGGGGAAACCGGGTTGGCGAAAACGCCACTCTCACATTCGGGACAGACAGCAACCTTGTTTACCGACACGGATGGCCGAGTGGCATGGCAAACCAACACTGAAAACAAAGGTGTGGTAGGCCTCAAGCTGCTTCCAACTGGAAACATGGTCCTCTACAACTCAATGACCAAGAGCAACTTTATTTGGCAAAGCTTTGACTACCCAACAGACGAGCCTCCGTGAAAGAAAATTATAATGGAGCTTATAGCTTGATTTTGGGGCCTAAAGGATTGGTTATGCACTATAAGAGCAAGAACTCTCCAAAGCCTTTACCCTATTTGAATATGAGATCTGATATAACCGAATCATGGGACCATATGACATTGAATTGCACCCCGGACACATATGAGGGCCATGCCTATGACATAAACTTAGATCCAGGCCAAGCCATCTTCTTATGCTACAAAATTCCTTCTGGCTAGACCCAAATACAACAGCATGCTTTCGTTCCTGAGGCTTGAAATCGATGGAAACCTTAGGATTTACACTTACTACGAAGACGTAAATTGGGGTGCATGGGAGGTAACCTTCACACTTTTCAGTAGAGATTTACCACAATGGGAAATCAGTGAGTGTGAATCGCCCGAGCGATGTGGGAAGTTTGGCCTTTGTGAGGACAACCAATGCGTTGGTTGCCCATCGTCCAAGAGACTATTGATTTGGAGCAAGAGCCGTGTGCCTAAGAAGCTAAGTTCTTGCCTTCTTGCGAGGCAAACAGCTTTCATTACTATAAAGTTGAAGGAGTAGATCACTTTAGCAAAGACACAGAGGGATATGGTGTGAAGGAGAATGCTTGTGCTAGTAAATGTACATCGGATTGCAAGTGTTTGGGCTACTTTTACAACCAACATACATCAAGGTGTTTGATAGCTTATGATTTGAAAACTTTAACTAAGGTTGCCGACTCCACTCACGTTGGTTACATCAAGGCTCCAAATCATTGAAAAAATAATTATTTATCTTCTTTGTGGCAATGAAATTATTCTATTTTCTATGTATAATATAATGAAGATATATTATTGAAATAAGAAGAATTAGCCCCCATGAAGACTAAGGCTGTCTCCAGTAGTGGGTTAAACTCACAAATTAAGCCTTTTCATACCCCAAAAGCCATTTCCAGCAAGTTGGCTAAACTTGCCATGTCACTGGTCAAACCCAGTTAGCAAGCTGAAGAGACCAAGTGCTGAGCTAAACTTGGCCATATTCATGGATGTGCTATTTCAGATCTGCTGACGTCAGCTAGCCATTATTATTATTTCAGGTCTATTTTACAATAAAAATATAGTCCATCACTATTGATTAAAAAAAACTATAAACAGTGTGTTAAATTTTATAGATGGGCTATGTTTAGCCCTCCACTTCTGGAGATGGCCTAATAAGTAAATTACGGGTATGATGTTGCGTTCTCAGATATATAGGCTTTTTACACTATAACTTACCAGTAAGATATGATGTTTTTAGAAAAATAAGCTATTTACTCAATAAATTACGGGTAAGATGTTGCCTTCTCAGATATATAGGAATGTTACACTGTAACTTACCGGTAAGATACGGTGTTTTTAGAAAAATAGGCAATTCACTAAATAAATTACGGGTATGATGTTGTGTTCTAAGATATATAGGCTTTTAACACTATAACTTACTGGTAAGATATGATGTTTTTAGAAAAATAAGCTATTTACTAGATAAATTAAGGTTAGGATGTTGCGTTCTCAGATATGTAGGCATTTTACACTATAACTTACAGGTAAGATATGTTGTTTTTAGAAAAATTGGATATTTACTCAACAAATTACGGGTAAGATGTTGTGTTCTCAGATATATAGGCTTTTTACACTATAACTTACCGGTAAGATATGTTGTGTTTCGAAAAATATGCAATTTACTCAATAAATTACGGGTAAGATGTTGCGTTCTCAAATATATAAGCATTTAACACTATAACTTAGCTTTAAGATATGGTGTTTTTAGAAAAATATGCTATTTATACAATAAATTACGGGTAAGATGTTGCGGTATCAGATATATAAGGTTTTTTACACTATAACTTACCCGTAAGATATGATGTTTTTAGAAAAATAAGCTTTTTACTCAATAAATTACGGGTAAGATGTTGCCTTCTCAGATATATAGGCATTTTACACTATAACTTACCGGAATTTATAGTGTTTTCAGAAAAATAGGCAATTCACGCAACAAATTACGGGTAAGATGTTGCATTATCAAATATATAGGCTTTTTACACTATAACTTACCGGTAAGATATGGTGTGTTTAGAAAAATAAGTTATTTACTTGATCAATTAAGATTAAGATGTTACGTTCTCAGATATATATATATATATATATATATGCATTTTACACTGTAACTTACCAGTAAGATATGGTGTTTTTAGAAAAATTGGCTATTTACTCAATAAATTATAAGTAAGATGTTGCGTTATCAGATATATAGGCTTTCTACACTATAACTTACTAGTAAGATATGATGTTTTTCGAAAAATATGCAATTTACTCAATAAATTACATGTAAGATGTCGCGTTCTCAAATATATAGGCATTTAACACTATAACTTAGCTTTAAGATATGGTGTTTCTAGAAAAATATGTTATTTACGCAATAAATCAGGGGTAAGATGTTGCATTCTCAAATATATAGGTTTTTTACACTATAACTTACCGGTAAGATATGGTGTTTTTAGAAAAATAAGCTCTTTACTCAATAAATTACAGGTAAGATTTTGCGTTCTCAAATAAATAGGCATTGATTTTGCGTTCTCAGATAAATACGCATTTTAAACTATAACTTACCGTAATTTATAGTGTTTTTAGAAAAATAGGCAATTCACGCAATAAGTTACGGGTAAGATGTTGCATTATCAGATAGATATATATATATATATATATATAGGCTTTTTACACTATAATTTATCGGTGAGATATGATGTTTTTAGAAAAATAAGCTATTTACTCGATAAATTAAGGTTAAGATGTTGCGTTCTCAGATATATAGGCATTTTACACTGTAACTTACCGGTAAGATATGATGTTTTTAGAAAAATTGGCTATTTACTAAATTAATTATGGGTAAGATATTGCGTTATCATATATATAGGTTTTTTACACTATAACGTACCGGTAAGATATGATGTTTTGCAAAAAATATGCAATTTACTCAATAAATTACGGGTAAGATGTTACGTTCTCAAATATATTGGCATTTAACATTATAACTTAGCCTTATGATATGGTGTTTTTAGAAAAATTTGTTATTTACACAATATATTGTGGGTAAGATGTTGCGTTTTCAAATATATAGGCTTTTTACACGATAACTTACCGGTAAGATATGGTGTTTTTATAAAAATAAGCTACTTATTCAATAAATTACGAGTAAGATTTTGTTTTCTCAGATATATAGGCATTTTACACTATAACTTATTGTAATTTATAGTGTTTTCAGAAAAATAGGCAATTCACGCAATAAATTACCAGGAAGATGTTGCGTTATCAGATATATAGGCCTTTTACACTATAAGATATGATGTTTTTAGAAAAATATGCTATTTACTCGATAAATTAAGGTTAAGATGTTGCGTTCTCAGATATATAGACATTTTACACTGTAACTTACCAATAAGATATGGTGTTTTAAAAAGAATTGGCTATTTACTCAATAAATTACGGGTAAAATCTTGCATTCTCAAATATATAGGCTTTTTACACTATAACTTACCGGTAAGATATTATGTTTTTCAAAAAATATGCAATTTACTCAATAAATTACGGGTAAGATGTTGCATTCTCAAATATATTGGCATTTAACACTATAACTTATCTTTAAGATATGGTGTTTTTAGAAAAATATGTTATTTACCCAATAAATCATGGGTAAGATGTTGCATTCTCAAATATATAGGCTTTTTACACTATAACTTACCGGTAAGATATGGTGTTTTTAGAAAAATAAGCTATTTACTCAATAAATTACAGGTAAGATTTTGCGTTCTCAAATAAATAGGCATTGATTTTGCGTTCTCAGATAAATACGCATTTTAAACTATAACTTACCGTAATTTATAGTGTTTTTAGAAAAATAGGCAATTCACGCAATAAGTTGCGGGTAAGATGTTGCATTATCAGATAGATATATATATATATATATATAGGCTTTTTACACTATAATTTATCGGTGAGATATGATGTTTTTACAAAAATATGCTATTTACTCGATAAATTAAGGTTAAGATGTTGCGTTCTCAGATATATAGACATTTTACACTGTAACTTACTAATAAGATATGGTGTTTTAAAAAGAATTGGGTATTTACTCAATAAATTACGGGTAAAATATTGCATTCTCAAATATATAGGCTTTTTACAATATAACTTACCGGTAAGATATGATGTTTTTCAAAAAATATGCAATTTACTCAATAAATTACGGGTAAGATGTTGCGTTCTCAAATATATTGGCATTTAACACTATAACTTAGCCTTATGATATGGTGTTTTTAGAAAAATTTGTTATTTACACAATATATTATGGGTAAGATGTTGCGTTTTCAAATATATAGGCTTTTTACACGATACCTTACCGGTAAGATATGGTGTTTTTATAAAAATAAGCTACTTATTCAATAAATTACGAGTAAGATTTTGTTTTCTCAGATATATAGGCATTTTACACTATAACTTATCGTAATTTATAGTGTTTTCAGAAAAATAGGCAATTCACGCAATAAATTACCAGAAAGATGTTGCTTTATCAGATATATAGGCCTTTTACACTATAAGATATGATGTTTTTAGAAAATATTCTATTTACTCGATAAATTATGGTTAAGATGTTGCTTTCTCAGATATATAGACATTTTACACTGTAACTTACCAATAGGATATGGTGTTTTAAAAAGAATTGGCTATTTACTCAATAAATTACGGGTAAAATCTTGCATTCTCAAATATATAGGCTTTTTACACTATAACTTACCGGTAAGATATGATGTTTTTCAAAAAATATGCAATTTACTCAATAAATTACGGGTAAGATGTTGCGTTCTCAAATATATTGGCATTTAACACTATAACTTAGCCTTATGATATGGTGTTTTTAGAAAAATTTGCTATTTACACAAAATATACTACGGGTAAGATGTTGCGTTTTCAAATATATAGGCTTTTTACACGATAACTTACCGGTAAGATATGGTGTTTTTATAAAAATAAGCTACTTACTCAATAAATTACGAGTAAGATTTTGTTTTCTCAGATATATAGGCATTTTACATTATAACTTATCGTAATTTATAGTGTTTTCGGAAAAATAGGCAATTCACGCAATAAATTACCAGGAAGATGTTGCGTTATCAGATATATAGGCCTTTTACACTATAAGATATGATGTTTTTAGAAAAATATGCTATTTACTCGATAAATTAAGGTTAAGATGTTGCGTTCTCAGATATATAGACATTTTACACTGTAACTTACCAATAAGATATGGTGTTTTAAAAAGAATTGGCTATTTACTCAATAAATTACGGGTAAAATATTGCATTCTCAAATATATAGGCTTTTTACACTATAACTTACCGGTAAGATATGATGTTTTTCAAAAAATATGCAATTTACTCAATAAATTACGGGTAAGATGTTGCGTTCTCAAATATATTGGCATTTAACACTATAACTTAGCCTTATGATATGGTGTTTTTAGAAAAATTTGTTATTTACACAATATATTATAGGTTAGATGTTGCGTTTTCAAATATATAGGCTTTTTACACAATAACTTACCGGTAAGATATGGTGTTTTTATAAAAATAAGCTACTTATTCAATAAATTACGAGTAAGATTTTGTTTTCTCAGATATATAGGCATTTTACACTATAAATTATCGTAATTTATAGTGTTTTCAGAAAAATAGGCAATTCACGCAATAAATTACCAGGAAGATGTTGCGTTATCAGATATATAGGCCTTTTACACTATAAGATATGATGTTTTTAGAAAAATATTATATTTACTCGATAAATTATGGTTAAGATGTTGCGTTCTCAGATATATAGACATTTTACACTTACCAATAGGATATGGTGTTTTAAAAAGAATTGGCTATTTACTCAATAAATTACGGGTAAAATCTTGCATTCTCAAATATATAGGCTTTTTACACTATAACTTACCGGTAAGATATGATGTTTTTCAAAAAATATGCAATTTACTCAATAAATTACGGGTAAGATGTTGCGTTCTCAAATATATTGGCATTTAACACTATAACTTAGCCTTATGATATGGTGTTTTTAGAAAAATTTGCTATTTACACAAAATATACTATGGGTAAGATGTTGCGTTTTCAAATATATAGGCTTTTTACACGATAACTTACCGGTAAGATATGGTGTTTTTATAAAAATAAGCTACTTACTCAATAAATTACGAGTAAGATTTTGTTTTCTCAGATATATAGGCATTTTACACTATAACTTATCGTAATTTATAGTATTTTCGGAAAAATAGGCAATTCACGCAATAAATTACCAAGAAGATGTTGCGTTATCAGATATATAGGCCTTTACACTATAAGATATGATGTTTTTAGAAAAATATTCTATTTACTCAATAAATTATGGTTAAGATGTTGCGTTCTCAGATATGTAGACATTTTACACTTACCAATAGGATATGGTGTTTTAAAAAGAATTGGCTATTTACTCAATAAATTACGGGTAAAATCTTGCATTCTCAAATATATAGGCTTTTTACACTATAACTTACCGGTAAGATATGATGTTTTTCAAAAAATATGCAATTTACTCAATAAATTGCGGGTAAGATGTTGCGTTCTCAAATATATTGGCATTTAACACTATAACTTAGCCTTTTGATATGCTGTTTTCAGAAAAATTTGCTATTTACACAAAATATACTACGGGTAAAATGTTGCGTTTTCAAATATATAGGCTTTTTACACGATAACTTACCGGTAAGATATGGTGTTTTTATAAAGTAAGCTACTTACTCAATAAATTACGAGTAAGATTTTGTTTTCTCAGATATATAGGCATTTTACACTATAACTTATCGTAATTTACAGTGTTTTCGGAAAAATAGGCAATTCACGCAATAAATTACCAGGAAGATGTTGCGTTATCAGATATATAGGGTCTCCTCCCTCCCAGCAGGCCTGGTTTTCCTTGGTATTGGAGTGAATTAATTAGGTACGTATGAGTTGAGTTTTCAATCCTGCATATATTTTATATATGTTCAAGCCAAGACATAGGCCGACGACGAAAAACACTTCAATTTTTATCATGTTTTAAAAGCATGATACTGTTTAGCACCAACCCAATTGATCGTAAACTCTCAAGTTTTTCAATCCTTCACACTAATTCACTCCAACCCTTCTGTCTCTGTTTCTCGCTCTCTGTCCCCAACTATTCTGTGAGATCATTGCAGTTTCATGAAGTAAGCTGAGACTTGAGAGGTATTTTTCTCAGCCAACTTTCAAGAAATTTCGTATTGCCTCGTTCTTTTTGTTTTTGTTTTTGTTTTTTGTGGTTTTAAAACATATCACTGATGGGTAATTTTTTGAGTACTTAATGAACTAGTGAAAGAGATTTTCTTGGTGTTTTGCATTTTGGGTCAAGAGAAGACTTTTTTAGCCGTAAACATAATTAAAGAGGCAAAATACAGAGGAAGAAAGACAGGTTGTCATGATCATCTAGGAAAAGGTAAAGTACTGTTGGCCTTGTGATTATTCAAGACTGCAGGCTTGATGATGAAGCACACAATTATCTTGATCATTCTTGCATCTTTGTGGACTTGTTATGATGCAATAGACACACTGAAACCAGGGGACACTCTCAATTCCACAAGTTCCTTGGTATCAGCATTAGGCAAGTTCACTTTGAATTTCATTACAAAACCTGTCGGCAATTCGGAAATGAGCTTTCTTGCTATCCTGCGCATCAAAACTGAAGCAAACAAAGCATGGATTGCGAACCCACACTCACCTGTTTTATCCTCTTCATCCCCACTTCTTACCTTGGACTTCAATAACACATTGAAAATTACTCACCGAAATGGACACCCTTTTATCCTTTCTGCTCCAAACACTACTAGTATTACTAGTGTTGTGGCTACCCTTTTGGATTCCGGCAATTTTGTCCTTCAAGAAGTGAGCCCTGTCAATGGATCCACGATCCAAATCTTGTGGCAAAGTTTTGATTATCCAATGGACACATTTTTACCAGGCATGAAATTGGGTGTTGACCATATAAATGAGCACGTTTGGTCTCTTTTATCATGGGGGTCTAGCGACAACCCTGTGTTGTCGGGGCCTTTCAGCCTTGATTGGGATACCAATGCACACCAATTGAAAATTAAGAAAAGTGGGGTTATTTTTTGGACTTGCGGGGTCTTTGCAGAGGGGAGATTCGAATATATTAAGCAGAGGTACAATTTTAGCATCGTTTCAAATCAAAACGAAGACTACCTCACTTATACTAGTCTAGATGATCCAAATGATCCTGAGCCAGAATGGGTGCTATACACCAGAGGTGCACTTTATGAGTATGGTGCCCAAGTTGATATTATACGAGCACAAAACTGTGATGGCTATAACACTGTCGGAGGGTGTGTGAGAAGGGACCGCCCAAGCGATTGTGTTGGGAAATTAGGTGATGATTTTGAGATTAAAAAAGGTAACTTCACGATCATCAATTCTGCTAATGCTTCGAGACCTGCGAACTGGATTGGTACTGGTAGCGAAGATTGTAAAGTTACTTGTTGGCAAAACTGTGACTGCCTTGGATTCGACTTTCCATTTGGAAATCAGACTACTGGTGCAGGATGCCGATTTTGGAGTGTGGACTGTGCATTCATTGAAGACCTCAGTACTGCAACTCATAGTTTTGTTGTGCCAAACTCAGTAACGCTGCCACCAAAATCACCAGATTCACCACCTCGCGGAAAGATTAGTGAGTCAAGCTATTTACTAATCTTATTAATCTTATTAATTAATCAGCTAGACTTGTTTAACTATCACATCAATAGGCTAATACAAGCTTAACTTACTATATAGAAAATTAATTAAATGTTTTCCTAGATGCAACGCATAAGGGGTTATGGATTGGCACTTCTATTGCCGCTCTACTGGTAATTGGGTTTTGCATATTGTGCTATCGACTAAGAGGAACAAAATTTATGCTTTCAGCAGGTAAATTCCTTAAGCATAATGAGAGCAGTTGTTAGCCAAAATTTCACTTCTTCGATTATTATTGTGCCATAATGAGAGCAGTTCTAACCTTCCAATACCAATTTAAATAGGCAAGAACGGGACAAAGATTCAGAAAATATTGCTTAAGTTCATGAAATCTGAAAGACCTACTGATCATGTTATTGCGATTGAAAATGATCATGGAAATATTAGACACCCTGATTTAAGCGTATTTACCTATGAATCTGTCTTGGCTGCCACAAGCAACTTCTCTGAAGCAAACAAGCTCGGCCAAGGGGGCTTTGGTCCTGTTTATAAGGTAAGTCTCTAAATAATAGAAAGTGTACATGCTTACATCAATAGCCAAAAGGGATATATAAAATAGTTTTTTTCTTTTTTGGAATAACTGAGAAATATTTTATGGGTTATAAATTCAGGGGAAATTGGCAACAGGACGAGAAGTAGCTGTGAAGAGGCTTTCAAAATGTTCAGGACAAGGCACGGTGGAGTTTAAGAATGAATTGATACTCATATATGAACTCCAACATACGAACCTTGTTCAGCTATTTGGATTTTGCATTCACGAAGAAGAGAAGATGTTGATATATGAGTACATGCAGAACAAAAGCTTGGACTACTTTTTGTTTGGTTGGGAACTCAAGCTACTTTAATCTTAGCACATTTCATTTTCTCAATTAATTGTGTTTACATTATTCTCTAACCTTTGAAAATACAAAAATTACGAATAAGACTCTCACTTGAATCTCAAATCCAAGGCAATCACAATTTTGCCAACAGGTAGCCTTACAATCACTACTACTAGTGCCAAACCAGGACGGGGATCTCGAACTATTACTAGAGTTGTTGATCTTGAAGTAACCATTTTTGAGCTCAAATTCATCATCGAATTTGGCCATGCAATCACTTGGCCGATCCTCTCACACACCCTCCAACTGTGTTATAGCCATCACAGTCCTCTGCTTGTGCGAAATTAAAGGATCCGTCATGAAAGCTCCCCATAAAGGTTAGCACCCATTGTGGTTTCTGATCACTTTGATCATGATCTACAGCAGTGTAAGTGAAGTAGTCTTCATTCTCATTTGAAACTACACTAAAATTATACCTCAGCTTGGACTCCTCAGCCGAAATAAATTCAAACGTTTTACTACTGCTTGTAAAGACTCCACTAGTCCAATAAAGCACCCCCTGTCGCCTGATTTGCAATTGGTGTCCATTGGGATCCCAATCAAGAGTGAATGGCCCTGGCATTGGGTTGTTGTAAGTAGCCCATGATGACATCGACCAAAGATGGCCACTCTTATGATTAATACCTAACTTCATGCCAGGTAAAATGTGCCAAATGGATAGTCAAAACTTTGCCACCAAACCTGCTTTGTCGATCCATCCGTAGAGTTCACTTCTTGCAGTATAAAATTGCCAGAATCCAAAAGGGTAGCCACAACACTAGTACTAATATTGCTAGTTTGTGGAGCAGAGGAAATGACAATAGGGTCTCCACCTTGGTGAGTCAGTTTCAATGTATTATTCCAGTCCAAGGTCAGAACTGCAGATGAAGGGTATACAATAGGTGTGTCTCGGTTGCCAATCCATACATTGTTTGGAGCTTCTTTGTTCAGGATAGCTAGATAGCTGTTGTTGTTGGAACCATCAATATATACATAGAAATACAAACTGAACTTTCCCGATGCAGATACTAAGGAACTTGAGGAATTGAGAGTGTCCCCTGGTTTGAGTGTGTCACTTGCAGCATCATGGTAAGTCCACAAGGAAGCAAAAATGATGAAGATAATTGAGCTGATCATCATCAAACCGGTAGCCATGGATGTCAACAGGTCAGGCAGTTAATTTCTCAAGATGATCATGAACACTTAACTGAAATAGTTTAGGCATCAAATAAAGTTCTTACAATTCGACATGAAGACTTTGTTTTCTTTTATTTGATTTTAAAATTAGGGAAATAGTTTGACTCACTCTTTTTTATACTTATGGACACACCATATCCATCATCCATCTGTGCTCTTGGAGAGAAGGTTATATCTTCCTTTCTTTTCTCTTTGCTTTTCTTTCTTCACAAGGCACTTGGCTCCTGGTTGGAGTCGTATTTGTGGGAAGACGATAATTCCAAATTGTAACAAAAAGAATAACTAAACAAATTCCTCGTACCATCGAGGGTTATTTAAAAGGAATAAATAAAATATATAAGGGAACACTTGTACTTAATCATGATGAATAATATTAATTTTCTGGTTAAGAGGTGCAAAGCCATTTGCTGAAGGTTTGAAAATGTAGAGGGGAAGGAGAGATTTGAATTTGAAAGCACTGTCGTTTTCTCATACTGGTAGGTAATGAGTCACAGCTGAAGTTTCAAACTAGCTAAACCTTAAAAGAATGCTCATTAAAAAAGAACCCAAGTCAAGTTTCTGATAAAAGACAGTAAGATATTGATAAATGTCCAATCATTCTTAGCTGGAAATGGGTTTTAGTGAACTCACACACAGTTGCTGTAATATAAACGTCATCCTATTACAATAACAACTTCCTTATATTAGATTCATAATTCTACACAAGTAACTCATCACCAGATTGGAATTGGACAAATAATTTTATCAATATAACTTGTGGTCCCTTTCTATCTAGCTATAGCAGCAGTGGCCACGTTTCTTTCTGTGTAAAATGCTGGCTTTGTTGGCATAGCTAACTCCATGCTTTCACTTGTCAGCATAGATATGACATCTGACATAGTTGGTCTATCGGCTGCATTCTCTTCCACGCAAAGGAGAGCAACAAGCATGCATCTTAAGAATTGATCTTTAATACATGAATCTCCTAGATTTGGATCCATTAATTCAAGCCCTCCACCTTCATTCCACAACTCCCATGCCTGAATCTCCTAAGTACTTGTACAAGTAAAGCAACCCCTGAGCGATTCCTTCAATTATACTTAAACGCTTCTTCCAAACTAGGAGCAAACCTCTGGTTGATTCTGTCCAATATATGACAGTTTATTAAAATTCATATAACAAATTGAACAAATGAAATCCAGTACAAAGATTAACGAAGGCAAATTTCCCAACCAAATAAAAAGTAGTCCAAGCTTTTGTTTGGCATGTACTCATATATCACCATCCTCTCTTTGCCATGGATGCAAAATCCAAAGAGCTGAACAAGGTTTGTATGTTGGGGTTCATATATAAGTCTTAATTCATTTTTAAACTGCAATGTTCCTTATCTTGAGCATTTGGAAAGTCTCTTTACAGCTATTTCTCTTCCTGTCGCCAATTTTTCCTGAATCGGCAATTCATAATATTTTTCAGTTGTCCCCAAAAAAACCTAAAAACTATGATATTTCTCTGCTATTGGTATACTTTTTTTTTAATCACTTTAAGCCTTACCTTATAATCAGGTCCAAAGCCCCTTTCACCAAGCTTGTTATCTTCAGAGAAGTTACAGGTGGCAGCCAGGACAGATGCAAAGCTAAATATGCTTAAAGCATGACGTCCCATGTTTCCATGATCATTTTGAAGCCCATCAAAATCATCAGTAGGTCTATTATATATCATGAAGTTGAGCAATTCGTTCGGACTGTTTGTCCTGCCATCGCCTGTTTAGATTCATCGTGTAGACAATTAAGATTTTAAATTTGACACAATTGTTAAAGATGCGAAAATTATGTTTAACATGTACACATAAAGTTTAAAGAATATACCAGCTGAAAGTACAAACTTTTTTCTTCGTTGTAGATGGAACCCGATGCAGAGCACCATTACTAGTACTAGAGCACCGGCAAAAGTAGTGCCAATCAATATCCTCTTGTATGAGCTTTTGGAGTGAGCCTTGGTTTCAGAAGGCCCCCTAAATTCATTTCATTAGACATGCAGATATAGGGGTAATACAATTTGCTGTTAATGTTCGTTTTTTGTTTGTACATTAATTGTCTTTTTGGAAAATTAATATATGTGAGGTGGTATGAAGTTGGACTTGTGGTCTAAAAGCTCAATTTTTTTAACAAACCTCTTTCATTTTAAAAAACAAAACCAGAACAGCAGGAGACATAAACCAAAACAGAGCAGCGAAAAAAAATACAGCTGACTTATGGCCCTTGTTCTGTCTTCAGTTTCTTAGAGGGCATGGTCGTCCATCCACGTGAGTTAGGACTCGTGTCAAAAATGTAGTGTCATGGATCCACCCCCTATACATATATAGTTCTATATCAATTCAAAGTGTAATAACTAGAGGCTGTATACCTATCGCCTCAAGTGAAGACTTTAAGCTGTAAATTTCACGTTTACAATTTATTGAGTTTCGCATAAACGACCATGGGATGTAACGTGTGCTTTGGGGATGCCTTCAGTTGGAAGAACACTGATCTTACTTTCAACCCAAGAGAAAAAAGACAATTGATTTTATAATCAATAATTTTTTTTTTTTTTTTTTTTTTTTTTTTTTTTTTTCTTATTTCATTTCATAAACATTTCATAAAATTCAAATCATCGCAGCAATGTATTTACAAAATTTGATATCTCAAGAGTATAGTCGCCAAATATATTAGAAAATTTTAAACGTATAGCCGGACGGCTATACTTTCTAAATACTTCCGAATATATTAAAAGTATAAATGTTAATATATTCGAATATTTTAAAAGTATAGCCGCGCGGCTATACGGTTTGTCATATATTCAAAACGAAGCTTGCACTCGCAGAGGACGGAGGTTGCAGTCGAAGTTTCGCTTCTCTATCAACTCAAGCTTCGATTTGTTTTCTTCGGTTTCGGCTGCTTTGTCCTCCGGGTTAGGCAACGAAAAAAGACCCAACCCACTTAGGAGGCCAGCCCAGCCGCCTAGCGCCCGCCTAGCCGCTTAGCGCCCGCCTAGACGGAGGTTGCAGTCGAAGTTTCGCTTCTCTATCAACTCAAGCTTCGATTTGTTTTCTTCGGTTTCGGCTGCTTCGTCCTCTGGGTTTGGCAACGACAAAAGACCCAACCCGCCTAGGAGGCCCGCCCAGCCGTCTCGCCGCCCGCCTAGCCGCCTAGCCGCCTAGCCTCCCGCCTATGCCCATTTTTTAGAGTCTAAAGCACAAGATGCCGGGGATAGACTCGAAACGGCTGCCTCTCAGTCTCAAAAGGTTATGCACTGATGTACTCAATCCATCTTTGGTCTATGGCTATGAGTGTGTGATGTTGTTAGTGTGGTGTTCATTTTGCCATTGGCTTCTTTCTCATTGCTTTCAGATGGCTGACATTGTTACAGAACAATGGATTCAAATTCAGCGGCTTGGGCAGGCTCTTCACATTACACAAGTAAGTTTTTTCCGCTCGAAACTGGCTTCAGGTTCTTTATTTGCTAAATTCATAAGTTTTGCTGATTCACTAATATTTGCTAGTTCCTTCTTGGTTGGACTGCCTTTCATTCTTTGGATATTGCATTTCTGTTATAGATTTTGACATTTGATCATGCCCTCTTGCCTCCTCCTCCTGTTGCATAGGAACCCAAAACCAACCCATCAAAGAACAGAAAAAAAATAAATTGAAATATTACACCACCTCAAGTGAAAAATCTAATTCATTTAAGCTTTTATATTTGTTCTTGTATCAGCATCTGTTTTGTCCTTAATTTGATCATCTGCAGCGGTGTAAATGAGGTAGTCTTCATTCTCATTCGAGACAATGCTGAAATTATACCTCACCTTGGGTTCGTCAGGCAAAATCAAATCAAATCTTCCCTTAATTGTTGTAAAAATTCCGCTTGTCCAATAGACCACCCCACTTTTCTTGATATTCAATTGTTGTCCATTGGGGTCCCAATCAAGGGTGAAAAGCCCTGGCGCTGGGTTGGAGTGAGTTGACCATGATGAAATAGACCAAATGTGGCCTTTCTATGGTTCACACCTAATTTCATGCCTGGTAAAAATGTGTCCACTGGATAATCAAAACTTTGCCACAAAACCTTCTCGTTCAGCCATCCACAGATTTCACTTCTTGTAGTACAAAATTTCCGTTATCCAAAAGGGTAGCCAAAACAACACTACTAGTACTAGTACTATTTTGTGGAGGGGAGTAAATGACAATAGGATCTCCACTTTGGTGTGTAATTTTCAATGTGTTGTTTGAGTCCAAGGTAAGAAATGGGGATGAAGGATATAAAATAGGTGTGTTTCGGTTTGCAATCCATGCATGATTCACACCTTTTTTACTGCGAAGGATTGCGAGTTGACTGTTTTTGGAACCATCATTAGGTACAAAGAAAGCCAAGGTGAAATTCCCCGAGGCTGAAACCAAGGACCTTGAGGAGTTGAGTGTCTCCCCTGGTTTGAGCGTGTCCTGAGTTAAGCTTGCAGCGTAGTGACAAGTCCACAAGCATCCGAAAGTGATCAAGAAAGTTAAGTTTCTTATGATAGCCATGAATGGAAAACTTAGCAGAGAAGCAAAAGTATTAAAAGACGTGAGAATTAAACCACAATCTCTTTAAGGTCAATGTATACAAGAAGCGGACTTCGACTCACTCATACTGCATATGCACTAACCATCTGTGGAATGGAAGAGGCGTTTTGAGTCATAATCTCTCTCCTTAATTTTTCCTCTTTACTGGCTAAGAGGCACACACCAATAGTCAACCACTTGATGCACAAGGCCGGAGGAATGATAGCAATATTATTAATATTCAAAGAATTCAAAATTTGTTTTCCTTAGACTAATTGCAGAATTGCAGCATGCAAGGGCTAGTTCTCACTTGTTTTTGAATTATATGTCTTGTACTCATTACTAGAAGAAATCAAGTAGTTTCCTCAATTGTACTATATTGTACATGATTATTTGCATTTGTCAAGACCTCCTCAATTGTAATAAAGATGCAAGGCCCGCCCAATGGTACATAACTCCAAGGTTCAAAATTTTGTTTTCCTCTAAATGCAAGTGCAAGGCCTCATATTTGTCTTCTAATTGTATCTTGCACTATTTACCAGCAGAAATCAACTACCTTATATAAGATTCACTCTCTAAACCCGTCTTAGGGCTTTGAGGACGTATACCAGTTCCAGTCACAGAGCTTTGGTGCTCTTATAGACATGCCACTAAAGAGGATCTTTTTTTTTTTTTTTTTTTTTTTTTTTTTTTTTTTTTTTTTTTTTTTTTTTTTTTTTTTTTTTTTTTTTTTTTTTTTTTTTTTTTTTTTTTTTTTTTTTTTTTTTTTTTTTTTTTTTTTTTTTTTTTTTTTTTTTTTTTTTTTTTTTTTTTTTTTTTTTTTTTTTTTTTTTTTTTTTTTTTTTTTTTTTTTTTTTTTTTTTTTTTTTTTTTTTTTTTTTTTTTTTTTTTTTTTTTTTTTTTTTTTTTTTTTTTTTTTTTTTTTTTTTTTTTTTTTTTTTTTTTTTTTTTTTTTTTTTTTTTTTTTTTTTTTTTTTTTTTTTTTTTTTTTTTTTTTTTTTTTTTTTTTTTTTTTTTTTTTTTTTTTTTTTTTTTTTTTTTTTTTTTTTTAAAAAATAATATATTGCTATTTATTAAGTAATATAATTTGTGGAGTTAATTAAAATATTTAATCTATATATATAAAGCAAAAGGCAGATAATGGTGAAACATTTAAAATACTAGAAAATGCCATTGGTTAATAAAAATATTAAGAATTGAAATTATTAATTAAATGAGGATAATATGGTAAATTCACTTTTTCATATTACAAAAATTAAAATTAAAAGAAAAATCAGATAATGGATCATATTTTTATGGAACACAACTACCCATTATCTTTTTTAATTCTAAAATTTTTTTTTTAAAAAAAACCTCTCACAGGCGCGAAAGCGCGTGCAAAGAGGCTAGTACTAATTATTCACTAAATAAATACTAATGAAATTAAATAAATAAGGCTATGATATTATTTAATTACTTAAAATAAAATTTGAAAAAAAAAATATTCAGCTAAAGATACTAAGTTTATATTTATTTTTATTTTTTAAAACCTCTCCAGACAAAATTTCGTCGGCAGAGCTAATTTTGTTTGGGAGAGGTCTAATCCAGCAAATATTTGCCGGCATAGACCTATACTGACGATATTTCTTCGGGAGAGGTGTTTTTGTTTTTGTTTGTTTTTTTTAATTTTTAAAAATATAAAGTTAGTTTCTTTACTTTTGTTTTTTGGCCAACTTCTTTCATTTAATACATGTACAGAGTACAGCACTTCACTTGTATATATGTTAATTGGTTGGTCACAGCAAAAATAAGTGAGGAAGGCAAGGCATACATATATAACATATTAATTAATTGTCAAATAACAATAATAATAAGGTAGTAAAATGCACATAATGATGAGAAGCCTCTTATCCTATGTTTATTACATAATAGGTACGTCATGCTCACACATATCCATTCATCGATTGAATGTGTGACTACGTAGGTATGTACGTACGTGTCCAATATTATAGTAGAGAGATATGATGAGCTAATCAATTAGTCACTACTCTTATATAATGAAAATAGCATCAATGATTGAGCTGCGTATTGACACATCATCGCTTCCCCAGCTTCACTATTTTTGTTGTTTTTTATTTTCTTTTATTGTTTTTTATTTATTTTATTTCTGATGTGGAGTCCACATCAATTAAAAAATGGATCCCATAAATGCCACATTAGCATTTAACAAATTAACTAATGGTTTGGTTAACTGATGGGGTAAATTATAGGGTTTCCAAGAGTTCGAATATGTATTACACCTCATCGTAGTTATATATTAGTAAAAACTCACTTGTTACACCGAATCACTTACTCTTCTCTCCTAGAGTCTTTCTTTTCCATTCACTCTTATAATTATATCATTTTCAATACTATCCAAAGGCGTAAATTGATCCCTTGATTCATATATACTATGAACCATGTATTTCTTGGTCCAACCACAATTAGACTAATTGCATATCGACCAACAAACCATACAACCATGGAAATATTTTTCAGACTCTCAAGAAGGGGGAAAGACACATGCTTCTCTCCTGCGTGTAACAGTATTAGAAGGGATGTTTTTGTATTCACTCAATGATTAATACAATGACCAGTCATATACTATCGCCTTTGCTATTAGAAAAAAACAAAGGTTAAAGTTGTTGGCTGTGGCCACCGGCTGGCGCTTATTTGATACCCACCGCATAAAATTATTAGAGCGGACCCGCGTCGGCGCATACCATTCCAAGTCATTAATTACCAGCCAGTCGGCCACCAACCAACTTACCAAAGTCAAAATTCCCTCCTTTTCTTCATCCTCCTCCATTCAACAATTCTAGTTTTCTTTTCAATTTTTTCTTCCAATTCAATACCCAGATATATGATTGATTAGGTTATAAATTTAAAAGGTTATAAAAACAATAAAAAAATTTGCACTTACTTGAATCTTGATGTATACTATTTTTATGTTTTGTTTTTGTTTCATCTTCCCACTTGATATTTGGTTTGCGAACTCGTGCCCTTTTCATTGGCTTTAGAGCAAATAATTGCTGTTAAAAGAATATTATACGTACAACAAGTCATGAATCAACACAGGACCAGCAGCGTTTTGCTAATATTTAATCTGAAGTTTGCTTTAACTTTAATTACGGTCATTGAATTAAATTAAAGTAATAGATTTAAAGGTTACATCAAGGCTAAATCTGTATATATGTATTAGTGGTATAAACACAAAACGGCACGGTATTGATGGATGTTTCGCACGAAACAGCACAAAACTTTCTGTCGTCTGCCCTTCAAAAAATCCCATACGATGTTGTCAGCCATGATTATTGCTCCCACTCTAATAGACTTATCGAAGGAATTTCTCGTATAACCAGAGAATTTTGTTTTAATATGAACCATAAAGAATTGGTTGTATGAAAATTGAGAGGGCGGCAAAGGGCAACCAACCGTAAGGTGAGGTCCATGTCCATCACCAATCATCTTTGGGGAGACGATGAAGAAATTAACAAATAATTTGTTGTAAAAGGCCAAAAAAAAAATGTAGATTTTCATTTGGCCAGAAACTAAAGCAGGAAAAGACCAGAAGAATCTGGACCAGGAGAAAAGTCTCTCTCCTCTCTTCTTCTGTCCCTTTACGTCTCACCTTCAGGGTCTCTCTTGGGCTGGGCCCCACACCGCGTGACGAGAGCGATGACTGCTCCCTTACCATGCCCAGTTGCCTGTACGATATAACGTCCAGGTTCAATGAACCTCAAAGGCCGCCCCTTTAATAGCCTCTTTATATAAACATAACACAACCTGCTAATCTTCAATTCCACACACAAACAGAAGATTTGAATAAATCACAGAGCAAAACAGAGAAGAAATTTCATCTCAATTATTCGTCAATGGCTCTCGCTGTTGCTTCTCCTTCTACTTTGATCTCTGGCCGGACCTTCTCTCTATCCACTCCCTCCTCTGACCTCAAAGGTAAAAACCTTTCATTCGCTTTTCTTTTTCATTTTGACTGGACTCAGAATTGAGAAATCTGGACAAGTTAGTTAGTTTTCTTTCAATTTGGGATGTAATTAACATGTTAGGGTTCCCATTTTTGAATTTGCAGCTCCACCAGTTGGTTCATTTCGGGTGGTTGATCGAGCCCACGGCCAAATTCAAAGCCAAGCTGTAACATTTTCTCAAAGACGGAGCTCGGTGAAGCCCATAAATGCGCAGTCTAAACGGAACGAGTCAATTGTGCCTCTTGCAGCAACCATCGTTGCTCCTGGTAAAGATTTGAAATTTGTTAATTTTTTTGGAGAATTTCAGGGAATTCATTTGTTGTGGGTTTGACTGAAAATTGGTGAATTTTGCAGAGGTAGTTGAGAAAGTAGAGGCAGAGGATTTTACGCAATTGGCTAAAGGGCTTGAGAATGCTTCCCCTCTTGAAATTATGGATAAGGCCCTTGAGAAATTCGGCAACGACATTGCCATTGCTTTCAGGTGGTCCTCTCTCTCCAATTTTGTTTTCCCTTTACTACTTAATGTTGATGATTATTTGTAAAATTGATAATTGAAAAACTTAATGAGCAACATTCTGTTGGGTTAGTTGTTATTTTCTAAATCTGGGCTTAAACATTTGAAGCGCATTATGTGGCTGTGTGCAATCAAAGAATACCTTATTTGGTAGCTGTAGGTGAGTGTGGCAATTGCATGAAAGATATGAGAATATCCTTTAGTATTAAGAGTGTTCAATAAGTTATGGTGATCAGAAAACTGTATACTAAAGGCGGAACGTTTTTGAAAGTAATAATGTATTGTCAATAAACCTCCGCCTAAGAATCATTTTTCCCATATACGATCCTTTACCAAAAAAATAAAAATAAAAAATGCCGAACTTACATTAATGCATGCGCAATGCGGGGTCATGATGTAGATGTACTCATCTCAATATGAATCTAGTAATAGTAGTAAGTGTCCATTTATAGGCTTGACTATCAAAATAACTATGATGTGTAGTTATTCACTTTCCTTGAGATGGTGGTTGAGATTTTCCAATATATTGTTACTGGAAATTAAGCTTTTATGATGTGTTGAGCTAATTGAGAGAAGTTTGCCATGGTATATGCCTTTTGATGATTGCTTAAAATGTGGCCTCGAATAGTAGCCATTTTATTTTCGTTAATAACAAAAAAATTCTGTTTTTGCAGTGGAGCTGAGGATGTTGCTTTGATTGAGTATGCACATTTAACTGGCAGGCCCTATAGGGTTTTCAGCTTGGATACTGGGAGGCTGAACCCAGAAACATATCAATTCTTTGACACAGTTGAGAAGCACTATGGCATCCGCATTGAATACATGTTTCCAGATGCTGTTGAAGTTCAGGCATTAGTAAGGAGCAAAGGGCTGTTCTCTTTCTACGAGGATGGGCACCAGGAGTGCTGCCGCGTGAGGAAGGTGAGACCTCTAAGGAGGGCCCTTAAGGGGCTACGTGCCTGGATCACCGGCCAAAGGAAAGATCAATCTCCAGGTACAAGGTCTGAAATTCCGGTTGTCCAGGTCGACCCTGTTTTTGAGGGACTGGATGGTGGGATTGGGAGCCTGGTGAAGTGGAACCCAGTAGCAAATGTTGAAGGTCGTGACATATGGGACTTCCTTCGTGCCATGAATGTACCCGTGAATTCACTGCACTCGAAGGGGTACATCTCAATTGGTTGTGAGCCATGCACAAGGTCAGTCCTACCAGGGCAACATGAAAGAGAAGGAAGGTGGTGGTGGGAGGATGCCAAGGCTAAGGAATGTGGTCTTCACAAAGGCAACATTAAACAGGAAGAGGGAAACCAATCTAATGGTAATGGGGCTGCACATTCAAATGGCACTGCCACTGAAACTGATATCTTTTCTTCCCAAAATTTAGTTACCTTAAGCCGGACTGGAATAGAAAATTTGTTAAGGCTGGAGAACCGGCACGAACCATGGATTGTAGTGCTCTATGCACCATGGTGCCAATTCTGCCAGGCAATGGAAGGATCATACATTGAGCTGGCTGACAAGTTGGCAGGGAGTGGTGTGAAAGTAGGGAAGTTCAGAGCAGATGGTGATCAGAAGGAGTTTGCCCAGAATGAACTGCAGCTTGGAAGCTTCCCCACAATACTCTTCTTCCCCAAACACTCTTCTCGGCCAATCAAGTACCCATCAGAGAAGAGGGATGTTGATTCATTGTTGGCTTTCATCAATGCCCTCCGGTAACCGGACTTTTGAAATGTTTAAAGAAAGTAGTCAAGGTATTAGAGAATCGAAGTCCCCAAGCTCCCATTCATCACCATACCTAAAAGGTGAAGTCAACATTCGTTGGCAAACCAGCTGGATAAATTGCACTGATTTTACCTAGAATCTGTGTTTTTGGAAATGTATTTATGCTTCTCTGTGAATATTTCTGAATCGTTAGGCGTAGTGTATTCTCACCTTAGTCAAAGTTCCTTATGGGACATCGTAGGGCTTCAAAAAATACAAAAGATTCCAAAATGGGAGGGGAGGGGGGTTCCATATTACCATGAATCCATGATGCATGCTATGAAATAATTATTTATTTATTTTAGGACAAAAGATTCAAACCAATTACTACTTTTTATTGTCCATTATACGTATTTTTAAAAAATAATAATAATTTATGCCTCTTCATGTAATTCTAAAACTTCTTAAGTAACGCAATTTATACAAGCGATATTAAGAGAGGATCCGAACATTGAATTTCGGATGCAATTAACCACTCTACCTACAAATTTCTTAATTAACGCAATTTATGCCTGTTGGGAGATGATGAAGAAATTAACAAATAATTTGTTGTAAAAGGCCAAAAAAATAAAAAATGTAGATTTTCATTTGGCCAGAAACTAAAGCAGGAAAAGACCAGAAGAATCTGAGAAAATGAACCAGGAGTAAACTCTACTATCCCACGTCTCACCTTCAGGGTCTTTCTTGGGCTGGGCCCCACACCGCGTGACGAGAGCGATGACTGCTCCCTTAGATTGAAGCCTCGAATCGTAAGCGGCCACGTGACCGGAAGACCAACTTACCATGTCCAATTGCCTGTACGATATAACGTCCAGGTTCAATGAACTCAACGGCCGCCCCTTTAATAGCCTCTCTATATAAACATAACACAACCTGCTAATCTTCAATTCCACACACAAACAGGAGATTTGAAAAAATCACAGAGCAAAACAGAGAAGAAATTTCATCTCAATTATTCGTCAATGGCTCTCGCTGTTGCTTCTCCTTCTACTTCGATCTCTGGCCGGACCTTCTCTCTATCCACTCCCTCCTCTGACCTCAAAGGTAAAAACCTTTCATTCGCTTTTCTTTTTCATTTTTGACTGGACTCAGAATTGAGAAATCTGGACAAGTTAGTTAGTTTTCTTTCAATTTGGGATGTAATTAACATGTTAGGGTTCCCATTTTTGAATTTGCAGCTTCACCATTTGGTTCATTTCGGGTGGTTGGTCGAGCCCACGGCCAAATTCAAAGCCAAGCTGTAACATTTTCTCAAAGACGGAGCTCGGTGAAGCCCGTAAATGCGCAGTCTAAACTCAACGAGTCAATTGTGCCTCTTGCAGCAACCATTGTTGCTCCTGGTAAAGATTTGACATTTGTTAATTTTTTTGGAGAATTTCAAGGAATTCATTCGTTGTGGGTTTGACTGAAAATTGGTGAATTTTGCAGAGGCAGTTGAGAATGTAGAGGTAGAGGATTTTACGCAATTGGCTAAAGGGCTTGAGAATGCTTCCCCTCTTGAAATTTTGGACAAGGCCCTTGAGAAATTCGGCAACGACATTGCCATTGCTTTCAGGTGGTCCTCTCTCTCCAATTTTGTTTTCCCTTTACTACTTAATTTTGATGATTATTTGTAAAATTGGTAATTGAAAAACTTAATGAGCAACATTCTGTTGGGTTAGTTGTTATTTTCTAAACCTGGGCTTAAACATTTGAAGCGCATTATGTGGCTGTGTGCAATCAAAGAATACCTTATTTGGTAGCTGTAGGTGAGTGTGGCAATTGCATGAAAGATATGAGAATATCCTTTAGTATTAAGAGTGTTCAATAAGTTATGGTGATCAGAAAACTGTATATTAAGGGTGGAACGTTTTTGAAAGTAATAATGTATTGTCAATAAACCTCCACCTAAGAATCATTTTTCCCATATATGATCCTTTACCAGAAAAATAAAAATAAAAAATCCCGAACTTACATTAATGCATGCGCAATGCGGGGTCATGATGTAGATGTACTCATCTCAATATGAATCTAGTAAGTGTCCATTTATAGACTTGACTATCAAAATAACTATGGCAATAGTTATTTGTCATCTAGATTTAGGTGGGATTGCTGATAAGATCTAGCACTCTAGCTGATAGTAAATAACATTAGAGAATTTGAACTGAGTCACCTGTCGGCTATGTTGTAGTATTCACTTTCCTTGAGATGGTGGTTGTGATTTTCCAATATATTGTTACTGGAAATTAAGCTTTTATGATGTGTTAAGCTAATTGAGAGAAGTTTGCCATGGTATATGGCTTTTGATGACAAAAAACTCTGTTTTTGCAGTGGAGCTGAGGATGTTGCTTTGATTGAGTATGCACATTTAACTGGTAGGCCCTATAGGGTTTTCAGCTTGGATACTGGGAGGCTGAACGCAGAAACATATCAATTCTTTGACACAGTTGAGAAGCACTATGGCATCCGCATTGAATACATGTTTCCAGATGCTGTTGAAGTTCAGGCATTAGTAAGGAGCAAAGGGCTCTTCTCTTTCTACGAGGATGGGCACCAGGAGTGCTGCCGCGTGAGGAAGGTGAGACCTCTGAGGAGGGCCCTTAAGGGGCTACGTGCCTGGATCACCGGCCAAAGGAAAGATCAATCTCCAGGTACTAGGTCTGAAATTCCGGTTGTCCAGGTCGACCCTGTTTTTGAGGGACTGGATGGTGGGATTGGGAGCCTGGTGAAGTGGAACCCAGTAGCAAATGTTGAAGGTCGTGACATATGGGACTTCCTTCGTGCCATGAATGTGCCCGTGAATTCACTGCACTCGAAGGGGTACATCTCAATTGGTTGTGAGCCATGCACAAGGTCAGTCCTACCAGGGCAACATGAAAGAGAAGGAAGGTGGTGGTGGGAGGATGCCAAGGCTAAGGAATGTGGTCTTCACAAAGGCAACATTAAACAGGAAGAGGGAAACCAATCTAATGGTAATGGGGCTGCACATTCAAATGGCACTGCCACTGAAACTGATATCTTTACTTCCAAACATTTAGTTACCTTAAACCGAACTGGAATAGAAAATTTGTTAAGGCTGGAGAACCGGCACATACCACGGATTGTAGTGCTCTATGCACCATGGTGCCCATTCTGCCAGGCAATGGAAGGATCGTACAATGAGCTGGCTGACAAGTTGGCAGGGAGTGGTGTGAAAGTAGGGAAGTTCAGAGCAGATGGTGAGCAGCAGGAGTTTGCCCAGAATGAACTGCAGCTTGGAAGCTTCCCCACAATACTTTTCTTCCCCAAACACTCTTCTCGGCCAATCAAGTACCCATCAGAGAAGAGGGATGTTGATTCATTGATGGCTTTCATCAATGCCCTCCGGTAACCGGACTTTTGAAATGTTTAAAGAAAGTAGTCAAGGTATTGGAGAATCGGAGTCCCCAAGCTCCCATTCGTCTCCATACCTAAAAGGTGAAGTCAACATTCGTTGGCAAACCAGCTGGATAAATTGCACTGATTTTACTTAGAATCTGTGTTTTTGGTAATGTATTTATGTTTCTCTATGAATAATTCTGAATCTTTAGGTGTAGTGCATTCTCACCTTAGTCAAAGTTCCTTATGGGACATCGTAGGGCTTTTGAATATTTTATTTTTTACTTTTTATTTTCTGTTTTGTTGTTGGTTAGAGATTGTCCACAATGAGATATCTGATTTTGGAAATGGGAAACGTAGGTTTTATTCTTTGTTTCCTGTATCGGATTGCTGGATGTACTTGCCAGTTTTCTTTCTCCTAGTTGCTTTATCTATTCTCGTGACTGAAAATTATGAATTTCTCAGAACACTTTTCCCCATTCTGCAGCATGATATTTCCCAGAAATTCAACATGTCAATCTTGTGCAGAAGATACAGCTAAGCACCTGAGCTGTGATACTTGCACATATCGCCATCTCAAACTCAGTCCAAACTTATTATAATTATAGTATTTTGTTTGTATGACCACTACACTACACTTAGTTAAAGATTGCGATGTAACTTTGATATAAGATGTAATTGTTGGCGAAAAGGTTACATTGTACTTGCAAATGCCTAGGATTCCAATTCCAAATTGCTTGAGATTCTTTTTCCTCTCCTCGCTTCTAAAAAACATGTCTCTCCTCCAGTCCTGTTTCTCCAATTATTTAATCCATAAAAACAACTTTTCATTAGCTGTCTGTCTGAAGACAGAGAAACTAGAAGATGCCAAATGTCTTGTGTTGTGCGCTCCAAGTTCTAACCATTTTCATGTATTTATATATTCATAGCTTTCCAAGTTACAGTTGAGAAAGAAAACCCAGAATCCGTTGGTTGAACAAGATTTACCTTCCATTTCATTCACAGTACGCATAAAGCTTAAGCTTAGCAGATATCCGATTAATGTTGGATAGTTTATGAACTGGTTTGAAATTATTTAGAATGTTCTGTAATGACGAATGCTGCATGCTATTTTAAAGTAGAGATTAAAAAAAAACAAGAAAAATTTGTTTTGGTGACCCACCTGAGACCTCAGCTGTATAAGCTCGTGACTCACCGGTGAACCGTAGATACTGCTGTGTCTGTATTATTTTGTTTTGTTTGCTAACCCCTACCCCAAAGTAACACAGAGGTTGCTAGTGCTTCCAATCCATTTTTGGCTGGCAATGTCTTTCTTTCCCCCTCTCTCTACATCTACACAGACAAATGATTTAAGACTAATTTTAACAGCACACCACTGCATTGTTCCATGTAATCTTTTTTGTTATTTTCCTTGCCTGAATCAAATTCCAAGTGATGTAACCAAATGTCCAATTCACTCTTGACAGAAGCCAGAAGGCCAGCCTGTAATTCAAAAAACCATTCCAAAAGTACAGACTACAGAGGTAAGGAAGAACCAAAACCCAACCCACGTTTTATATTCTTTTTACTTTATTTATATTGTCCTCTCAACTCTCAACTGGCAAGTGGCAACCCTACAGCACAGCTCTAGAAAGTCCTTTTATTTTCAAGTATGTCCTTTTCTTCTCAACTATTTGCCTTGAGGGCACCCAACTCAACTAATTAGGGAAAAGAATCAAATAAAAGTTGCAACTACCCTCTTTAAGTCTTTCTAATTTATTATTTATTGTCGGCACACAAGGCCATTTTAGTGAATTCCTTTCCTTCACCTTGCTATCTCTCTACAAAAATTCAGAACTACTCTCTCCTCTGACTGACCTCCGCTCTTCCATTTCATCACTGCCTTCTTTTTCTTCATTCACACACTCACATCTCTTGGGTCAACAACCAAAACCCAGAAGAAAGAAATAAACCACAAAAAGGAGGAAGCTTTGAGAGGATAATGCAAGGATCTGTAGCTGAACCAGAAACAGAGGATGAGGAAGCCAAGCTCAAGCTCCTCTCCAATGACAATCACTAACCTCTCACTTTCAACCATCTACTTGTGCTTCTTCTTTATCTCCACTTTACTCTTCACAGCATCTCAAGGTAATCACTTTAACCCATGCTTGCTTCAAAATGAAGAAAGCAAGCAACACCCTTTAGTCTTTCTAACATTTTGTTGATGGGTTTTCAGCTACCTCTTCTTCACTCATTTTGACAACCACAAAGCAGCAGCAAAATCAAGACCAAGACAAAGAGCCATTCGTGGGAGTGAACATAGGCACAGACGTTTCGAATCTGCTATCTCCCTCAGACCTCGTTTCGTTCCTCCAAGTCCAGCAGATCAACCACATACGCCTCTACGATGCGGACCCTGACATTCTCAAAGCCTTGGCCAAAACCAAGATCCGAGTCATTATCAGTGTCCCCAATAATCAGATTCTCGCCATTGGGTCCTCCAACACCACTGCTGCTTCTTGGGTCGGTCGAAACGTCGTCGCATACTACCCAGAAACGCTCATAACAGGCATTGCGGTTGGCGATGAGGTCCTGACCACAGTGCCCTCTTCAGCTCCTCTGCTTCTTCCAGCAATTCAGTCGCTTTACAGTGCTTTAGTGGCTGCAAATTTGCATACCCATGTCAAGATTTCTACTCCTCATGCCGCCTCGATAATTCTTGACCCGTTTCCACCATCTCAGGCTTTCTTCAACCAAAGCTGGTCGCAAATTGTGCTTCCATTGCTTCAGTTCTTGTCCAAGACAGGGTCTCCTCTGATGATGAATCTTTACCCTTACTACGTCTTTATGCAGAACAAAGGTGTGGTGCCTCTTGACAATGCCCTTTTCAAGCCTTTAACACCCTCCAAAGAAATGGTGGATCCCAATACTTTGCTTCACTATACCAATGTGTTAGATGCTATGATTGATGCTGCTTATTTTTCCATGAAGAACCTCAATATCACTGATGTTGTGGTTCTTGTTACTGAGAGTGGTTGGCCTTCAAAGGCTGATTCTAAAGAGCCTTTTGCTACTATTGACAATGCGGATACATACAATTCCAATCTTATTAAGCATGTTTTTGATCGTAGTGGCACCCCTTTGCACCCCGAGACCACTTCAAGTGTGTACATTTATGAATTGCTCAACGAAGATTTAAGGTCTCCGCCGGTATCCGAGGCCAATTGGGGCCTGTTTTATGGGAATTCGAGTGCGGTGTATTTGCTACATGTATCAGGAAGTGGGTCTTTTTTGGCTAATGATACAACAAACCAGACCTATTGCATTGCCATGGATGGAGTAGACTCAAAGATTTTGCAGGCGGCATTGGATTGGGCATGTGGACCGGGGCGATCCAATTGCTCAGAGATTCAGCCAGGGCAGGATTGTTACTCTCCTAATAATGTGAAAAGCCATGCTTCATATGCGTTTGATAGCTATTACCAGAAGGAAGAGAGGGCTGCTGGGTCTTGTGATTTCAAGGGTGTAGCCACCATTACCACCACAGACCCAAGTAAGTGCTACTTCTCCATCCTGGTTCTAGCATGCTTGGATATTTTTATTTGTGCCCTTTCATTCAATGATTTTCCTTTAGCCCAATAATGGTGGCAGAACACTTCAATAGATTCGAGACCAAGGCTAAGATTGCCTTCGTAAAGATGTCTCTTTGTTGTTGTAGTCTTGCAAACAAAATTGTACTAGAAATATATGTGATCTTAGATATGCTATATATTGCTTTGGCCCAAATGGGCTCCACATACTTTGTAATTTTGTGCACTTCTTCTTGGTGATTTTCTGTACTGAACTTTTTCTTCTTCTTTTTTTTGGTGGGAATGTATTACAGGTCACGGGAGCTGTATATTTCCTGGAAGGTAAAGCTTGAGAGACTTGACTTACTTACTTTTGTTGCTACATACTATATGCAATGTAAAAAGTAATAACCATTGTTGTTGGTCTTGGATACAATGAAGCTAGTTTGCATTGTTCTTCCTTAACAAGGGATATTTGGTTTTGTTTTGGGTGCAGTAAGAAGGTGATCAATAAAACAAGGCAGGTGGTGAACTCGACCCATTCAAGTAGTGGAGCAGACAGATTAAGATTCATTGCCTTGAGCAGCAACAGAATAAGTGCCATCAGTGGGATATTATCTGTATTTTTTCTTGTATTTTCCTCTACTTTGTTATTCATTCCTTTTGTGACTCCTTGCTGAGGTAGAAATAAAATTATTTTTTTCTAATGTACAAGTGTGTTTTGAATTTCCTGGTAAACAGTAATTTGCATAGGGTTGCTTGTTTTGTTTTTGTGGATGCTTTATTTGGTTGTCTGTTAGATTATGAAATACAGAGACACACAAAAAGAACAAAGGGAAAAAGAAAGAACAAAGGGAAAAAGAAAAAGGAGAAAAGTTGAATTTCATGTACTGTACATTAATAGTTCTTCACACCATCCATCTGATTAGGTTAAATAATTGAAAACTAGATGGTGAGAGAGCTATCCTCCTTTTCCCAACCAATGGCTGGCTATTCTGAGCTTAATGGCTGGTTGTTTGTTGTTGAGCCACCGACTGAAATAGCTTTTTGTTAACTCACACTAGTTTTCCAACAGCAGGGGATCGAAAACGAAACGAAACGAATATACAGACTGCTATTAAACAAAACGAAACGAAACAAAGTGAATTTACAATAAAAATGTATTTTTGCGGTGAGCGTGGATCGAACACGCGACCTTCAGATCTTCAGTCTGACGCTCTCCCAACTGAGCTATCCCCGCTGATGTTATTCTTTACGCTTTATTTAGTTTTATTATAATATTTCCTTTGAAATTTTAATCAACTAGTGTCGTTGACGAATGAACGACTTCATTATTTGCGTCGTTTGACATTCTTTAAGTAGTCCAGCACAGGACGGTTACAGAGGATATGTAAAGATCATGGAACCAGAAAAGAGTAGACCAACAAAAATACCAAAAAGCGAGCGCTAGTTTTCAAAATTGGGTTTTCGTTCCTAACAATGCCTTCCAAAAGTTTATGGCGATAAAGTTGTTCAGTACAGCAACTTCGCTAACTTTCCCAAGTCATCTTCTCCACCGTCCCATAATAAACCCTAGAAAAACCTGTTATACTCTGACCGTACAAATGTCTTGGGCATGCAAAAAATGCACCTTTGTCAACCCCCCAACCCCATCTCAAAAACCCACTTGCCAAATCTGCTTATCACCATCATCATCATCACCACCCCCATCACCAGCATCTTCTTCTATTCCAAAATGGTCATGCAAGGCCTGCACTTTCTTGAACGCTTACAAGAACTCTAACTGTGAAGTCTGTGACACCAGGGCTTCAATCTCTTCCCTCTCGAGTTTTGAGGATTTGACCGATACGGGGCTTGATGGTGGAGACCTCGATTCTTCGGTAGGCTCTGTTTTCTTGCCCCTGCAGCGTTGCAAGAGGAAGAGGGTTGAAGACCCAGTTGAGGTTAATCAGGGTTCTTCCAGTTTCAATGTGGTTCGAGAGGTCAAGGCGTCCGATAAGTTGACGACTGTATCGGGTTCTTCCAGTTTCAATGTGTCTGGAGGGGTGCCCGATAAGGGAATGAATGTGTCGGGTACGTTTAGATTCCATAATCTGCGTTTTTTTGGGTTTGATTTGTTTCATGCTTGAACTGATAAAGGTGTGAACTTTCTTCCTAATCGATTGCTAATTTTCTTCTTTTCTATTGAATGTACGTGGTGATGGGTCGTTGTGTAATCTGTATGGGGGTAGCTTTATTCTGTGAATGTAGGTGGAACGAATGTTAGTATACTGCTGAGAAAAGTGAGAGTAGACGCTTCAAGATTTGACCTTTTATCAATGACCCATTCCAATTACTCCAACAGTCATTCTATTCTCATGCTGACCATTTGTTTTTTGAACAAAGGTCACTGGAAGTTGAGAACTACCATTTCTAAATGTAATGCATAGTGTGTGTATATTCTCAAAACCACCAACTCAGTAAGAATCGCTAAATTCTTCTCCAACTTATCAGGTTGACCTGGTAGGCATAAACTCATCTTTGATTTTCATCTAAAATTCTTAATTTACTTTTGAGTCTGCAATAGATTCCCCTTATCCTCTTCTTCATTTCAATTGAACTAAAGGAATTTAGATCTCAAGCTACCAATTTCAAGAAGCAGCGGCAAAACCCATTCGCAATAAACTACAGAGCAATTGATTTTGTGTAAGAAATGTTTTGTTGCTTTAATCATCAAGAAGAAAACAGAAGCTTTGGCAAGAGGGAGATGAGAGCACTAGGTAACTGAAAATTTCAAAATCCTTTAGCTTAATGTTTAGCTCGTCTGTTGGAGCACCTTTTCTATTAGATTTACGCCAAAATAGCTAAGCAGTAGTATCATATTTCAGAGATGCTGGAGATGGTCTTAAAGTTCTACTTCTTATTGCGTGTTGACTTGGAAGATTCTGTAGTTGAGTTAGTTATTATGTATTTTATTTCTTCAACTGTTCCTGGTTTGCACTCTGTGAACCTCATGGGGTTTCTCACTATGAATAAGTTAAATATTTACAGAGGGAACTAGTTTTGGGTCTTCTGGTGTGGGTTTGACGACATTGAAAATTCTGAGTTACAATGTCTGGTTCCGAGAAGATCTAGAAGTGCACAAGAGAATGAAAGCTCTTGGTGACCTTATCCAACAGCACTGCCCAGATCTCATTTGCTTTCAGGTTTCCTCACACTCTTAACTGGAAATATCATTATATTTAGCCTTTTACACTTCTTTTATCTGATGACCACTTTTGTCCTCCAGGAGGTCACCCCGAATATATATGACATCTTTCGGCAATCTAGCTGGTGGAAAATGTATCAAAGCTCAGTTTCAAACCAGATGGCAGATTCAAGACCATACTTTTGCATGCAGGTGAATGTTTGATCTCTTTTGTACTGGGATTTATTTTCAAATGCCAGAGAATGGTATCTGCTTTTCTACGAGTTTCTTGCTTGTCTTGTTGTTTGAGAAAGTGTTTTGCTAATTTCATAAGATGAATGCATCTTTTAGTAAGCATGATATCATCTGACAGATGAATTATTATGTAGTTAAGCAAATTGCGAGTGAAGTCCTTCAGCTGTAAGCCCTTTGGATACTCTGCAATGGGGAGAGAACTTTGTGTTGCTGAAGTTGAAGTCCCGGGGGACAAACATTTGGTTGTTGCCACTAGCCATCTCGAAAGTCCTTGCCCCGGCCCTCCAAACTGGGATCAGATGTACAGTAAAGAACGTGTAGATCAGGCAAAGGAGGCCCTCAACCTTTTAAACAAGAACCAAAATGTGATTTTTTGTGGTGACATGAACTGGGATGACAAGTTGGATGGTCAATTTCCTTTACCCAACAAATGGATTGACGCTTGGGAAGAGTTAAGACCAGAGGAAAATGGATGGACATATGATACCAAGTCCAACGTGATGTTGTCTGGCAACCGGAAACTACAGAAGCGACTAGATCGATTTTTGTGTAGTCTGCATCATTTTAGAGTGAGTAAAATTGAAATGATTGGGATGGATGCAATACCAGGTCTATCTTATATTAAGGAAAAAAAAGTGAGGACGGAGATCAAGAAGCTGGAGCTCCCTGTTTTGCCTAGTGATCACTACGGCTTGCTTTTGACAATCTGTAGCCAGTGATGTCAGTTTGGTGACATAAATGATAGAGTTTATCGTGTGCGCACCGACCTTTCTCTTGTGGCCGACTGGAAATCCTGCCATGCATGCCTTGCATGGTATTTTGAGTATAGATTGCTTATGAATATGATATGGAAGTTGGATTGTTGCATTTACATTTTGTATGAAGTTTTGTGGATGAAATCGTTCACTTAAAATGCAACTCCCAAACTGAATGGCTTGTATTTTGTTTAGTATCTTCAGATTCTTGTTATGAACAATGACTTTCTTATATATTTTCTAATTAATTCCCCCCTCTCATAACTTAATATGCTTATTACAACATAAATAATGGGGAGGAAACTGAAACACATAAAAGTGATAGAAAAAACATGTTTTTGTTACTAGAAATGGGTAATGTAGAAGATAAATATATACAACTTAAATAACATAAAAAGAATGAAATGATGAGGTTATGTGCTTCTTTTATTAACTAGGTTTCTGTATTATGAACATCTTTGAGAAACACTCGCTTGCTGTAAAATGGTTTGAAACGCTTTTGTGTTTGATAGAGGCACCGTCATCAAGCCAATGTTGATAATTCAGATCTCTCTGCGGTTGCAGGAGCCTCCAGTCTTACATAGTCATATAGAACTCCACAGAGTGCATCACCACCCCTAGCTTGTGTAAGAAATATGGAGTTATCTCCCTTAACCAGAAATGATGACGAAATATCACAGCTGAAAAGCCGGTAGAGTCCATGAATTCCATGTCGACAAACTGTGTTATCTGTACCCAAGTTCAAAACTTGAAACACCAGGTGCTCTATATCCATATCATTAACATGGGCCTGCAGCTCAGAAGTAAGGGTAAACTTGTCGAAATTAGTAAACTTAATGACATGTTGTTTATGCATTTCTAATTATTGGGAATTCTAGCAATTACTAACTACTTAAGAAAAGTTCATGAACAAACACAAATGCAATTTGTTGAAAGAAACTATTCAGGACTTGTAGTGCTTTGGTTTTCCAGATCAGGTGAGAAGTTTTTCATTTTTATGGCTTTTGAAACAGTTCAATAGTTTTCTTTTTCTTGAACTTTTGCCATCCATACTTTCAGGTCTGAGCGGGTTGCTGAAGCAATTGCCAGTCTCAGCTTGTATGTGCCAGTAGTTACAGAGTTGAGGTTGAACTTGATTGTCCATGTTGTTGGAAGGTATTTATTATCTGCCCCCCTCCTGCAAAAGTCAAATTATTTATATCAAGCACATACTTTATTTCATACAGTTAAATTTGAATGAAAGCATTTTTGTCTATGAAGATTTAGGCTGCTTTTATTGAATGATGGCAAAGTTTCTGGTTTTGTATTGCAAATACCAATGTATGCATTATTCATGGCGTAAAGGAAAGAAGGAAAGACCTGTCTACATGAGCAAAGAACCAGTCATTTTTTGGATTACTGCTGCCTATTGTGAAGGTCTGGTCAAATTGAGGGTGTACATCAGTGTATCTGTCCCACAAGCCATATTGTCTAAACCTGTAATGTGAAGCGAATATCAAACATAAAATAAGAGTTCAATTTAGTTTCATTTTTAGGGAAGGGATGAGTTCACTTACTTTTCAGGGCTGTTAAGGAACAGCTTGTTGACATACATTGGGTTCACATCAGGAACATAGTAACCTATGGCCGTTCGATCGGGGAAGCCAATCTCCCAGAGAGTTGGACCATCTCTTGGGGTAACATAGGTCAGATTTCCAAGTTGTGTTTGTGATCCTGAGGAATTTTGGAAAACCAATGAAATATGACATTAAATGATGAGTACTAGTCAACCATAAGTTGATATGTTTAGCTAACTGTATCGCATGATTTGACATTGAACTGGAATCCTATAAGAATGGAAGATAGCCTCCTCATCCACAGAAACTTCTGCTTTAGAAAGTACCTGCGGAGATGGTGATATGTTCTTTGTCAAGGTAATCACCCAGGAAACCAGGGATCCAGCCATGAAGTCCATATACTCCAGGGATAACATTCTTGATGGTGAAGTTTCCGGTGTAATCTGTTTCTACCCAAAACTGATAGTCCTGCATAGAATTGAAATCTAAATGTCAAATTAAGAAGGTTACATGTGCCTCAAGCTTGTAGTCTGTTAGGAAGTCTTAAGATTGGTTGTGAAAAGAACAAAAGTGGAAGATCAACATACGCATGTTTTGCAGGGTAAGAATGGTTAGTAATTACCTTGCTTTCTGTTTGCCAGGATCCTTCAGTTGTTGCAACTGATAGGCCAACATATGCATATTTAGCAGGAATGAGAGAACCAGAAACATACCTGGGGCCATGTACAAAATAAACATAAACAATAATACTAATTACCATAGAATCAGTTGTGCCATGGAAGGGTTTGGTTAAACAGAAATCCCCATTTGTTGGTACTAACCTGTCCTGGACAAATAATCTTCCTGAAACCGAACCACGCTCTTTAGCAGCAACATAGTAGGGTGATGAGACAAAATCATAAGGCCACGCTGTCTCTTCAAACAACCTCTAGGATGAGCGAAGTACAAAATTTACCGGTAAGTCTGCATTTAAGGTTTTCAACAAACACAAAAGAGGAGGTCTAGTTTTACTGACGTTAAACATGGTTTGCTGGAAATGAATTAGTACCTGTTTTTTCGCATCTATCCATAAATTATGTGCCTTTGATACATCTGGGGTTGAGTTAAGGTATACAAAGAAGGGGCCAAACACTTTAGTCCAAGTCTCTCCCTCTTCAAAATGAGCTAATATATCTTCCCCAATATAATGGGTTCCATGAAGCATCTGTTGCACCAGATAGAATTGCTTACATCATCCAGGTGAGTTTCTAAGATTTTGTGAATATATATAGATAGTTTTAGAGTGATAGACTTTTACAGCAAGGCAGGTTGGACCAGTGTGGACTGTGAGATTTTGCTTGGTAGGGCCTCCATTGCGAAACTCCTGGCTGGGAAAGATGACCCAAAATCCTATAATGGGGCCAGAACTTATCCATCCATGGACTCCACCATCTTTGTTGTCCATTGAATACTGATACTTATCGTCAACCTGCATCCAGTCTCACATAGCAGAGTTGGGAAATTTTTATCGAAATTCAATGCGGCATACATGCATTGTGCAGAAACACACAAGAAAATATTTCAGGTACACACCTCGCCTTTGAGATCGGGATTGATGGGATTTACTAGCAAAACTGATTCAGGTACAATTAGTTGTTTGCCTCTGCCTGGAAGCAGATCCTCAGGCATTGGCATTATCCTTTGTTTTTCATCTGTTATTGCCATGTAGTGGAACCTAACACAAATTCAATCAATGTAAAAACATAAACAAGAACCAATTCACCTGGAAACTCAAAATAGGAAATAAATAGAATGATTTTACTTCTCTCTTCGCAACTTATACACCATCCTTGTCTGAGCAAGATCAAAAGCAGGACATCCAGAAGGGCGCTCATATATTGCATAACTGTAGAAGCCTGAAACACCGGTCCTTAATATGTACCTGAAAAGTAATCATTTGATCATGAAAACCATAACAAATTAAACTATGACAATATCATAAAAGTGACGACAAGAAGACTTATGTTAATAAAGTACAACCTTATATCTACACTTAGCGGCAATTTGACACCTTGAGCTGATGATGGATTATAGGTGTTCTTGAATGAAATCTCTAAGCTGTCATTGCTCTCATGGACAACGCTATATTCAGCTCCTTTCAGTCTGAAATGTACATAATTCAGCGTACTCAATGTGTAGTTAGACTGTTCGACTTTTTCATATATAGGGTAAAAGACAAGTACAAATCGAAACTATCAAAGATACTTCATCTCAGAGGAAAGAAGAAGCATACAAAGTGTATATGTCTTGACCTCCTGGCAAACTCCAGTTGATATCCCAATATCTGCAAATGAACACAGATGAGTGTTTCAAATGAAAAAAGCCATGTTGTTATCTTATGATTATCATGTATAAAATCTTGCCAAATTACCAACACTGAGCTTCTGTTAACTCTCACAGTTCAAAATGGTTAGAACCATCTTATTTAAATTGGATCATCATGAGAATACTGAGAATCAGAGATGCATGAAGGTTTTTACCCTCTGCTAGATTCATTTGACTTGATATCTAAAAGATTGTCCATTCCTCCATAACTGATGCCAGTTAAGTACCCTTGAGGCCTCAAAATCGTAAGCTTTACCAACCCATTGTCCAGTATAACCTAACCAAAATACCCAAATTCAGACACACACACACAAAAAGGAAAAAAAAAGAGAAAATGATGAGAGAGTAATATGCATAGCAGCATGGGAACATGATCAACTTACATAGGGACCTTGATTCCTCAGTTTCAGTTTCTTCTTTGCCATAGCAGAAACAGACTAATTTCTTCACCTTTCCTCTTAATCTTTATAGAATAGTAAGATTATAATGCAGAAAATGATGGCAAGTGCCATATTATGAGCTATTAAAGCTAATTTGATTGATCCACGGCCAGTCGTTGGTTTCTATGGGATTTAATGTATATATTATATAATAAGAATCGAATCAAAGTATTTGAAACAAGAACAGCCTTCTCTAGATTATGTCACCAATGTGTCTACATAGTTGAAGCATAACATAGGACTGTGACAATGTCCACAAATGGAAAGAAAAAACAAACAAATGCAGCGAGGGTAGTTTTTGAACATGCATTAACCTACACAACTTCTTCAGACAAATGCTTATGCTATCTCAAAAATATTACTGATGCTGCACTTGTGGCAAAATTTTAATAAAATTATTATTATGTTAAAATTTGATTTGTCTGATGCTACTGAATCATCAAACCAGAGATTTTTAATTTCTCTCTCGTCTGCAAATGGGAATTTAATATCTTTAATGTGACGACTCACTCCTTGAAAAGTAGAGTAAAACTGTAAAATAATCTGACTATCTGAGTGAAATAATATATTTTTAACTCTTTTTTTTGTCTTTAGGCTGCAGGTACAGAAGTATATTATAAAATAAAATACAACTGCACGTGACTGGGGGTAAGTTGGTAAAAGTAACTGGACAATTCCATTTTGTTACCACAAGTTCCCCTTGCACACCAAAAGTTACTGGCCAATCAGAAACCGTCGACAAGAGTTGGGCGTCACACCTTCATTTTGGGCCCACCTAGAATTCAACGGTCCATGATTGGACTATGAACATTCACATGCACTACTTCACTTAACGCACTGGACTTGAAATCACTGATGACAGCTCACAAGAGCCATCATCTACTGTTCTCTCACTCGCATACAAAAATGAGCTTATGAGCTAAGCTCTGCTCACAAAAGCACCACATTGATAGAAAGAGATAAATTGAGAAAGATTCATAGTTAGATTTGGTGAGAGAGGGATCCATTTGGTTACCTCACCAAGTCTACTTTGAACTCTCTCTTCTCTCTCTCTCTCTCTCTCTCTCTCTAGATCTAAATAAGAAACATTTTTTACTTGTTTTAGTTTGCTAGAACAGAAAATGAGAGAATGCAAGCTTCTTTCTTTTGCCATTGTTTTGGTTCTGTTTCTTGTTAATGGCGTTAATGGTGAAGACCCATATAGGCTCTTCACTTGGAAAATCACTTATGGTGACATTTATCCTCTTGGTGTTAAGCAACAGGTAGTTTTGGCTTTTTTTACTTCATTGCAGCTTTCAAAACTGTTCTTTACTAGTTGAGACAGAAAGCCATTATCTTTCAAGCATTTGTGCGGGTCTTGGAAGCAAATGAAGTTCTTTTTTTTTATTTTCTTTCTGAGTAAAAAACAACTTCTGTGGAGTTTCTGATTAGTGGGTTGAATTTGAATAACTGTTGCAGGGGATCTTGATCAATGGGCAATTTCCAGGGCCTCAGATCGATGCTGTAACAAACGATAACTTGGTCATCAGCGTGTTCAATTACCTACGTGAACCATTCCTCATTTCTTGGTAAAATACTCTGTTTCTGTCTTCCAGTTTTTATTGTCTTTTTTTATATATAGAAAATTGTGTTTGTTTTCTGAGAAAATAAAAGAAAGTAATTCTGTTCTGAATCTGGGGTAAAGCATATAATTCCAAAATGCTTTTTTTTTGGGGGTTTCCCTCCGTGGTCTCAGCTACTAAACAGAGTAACGATAAAATGTTTTGTGTCGAAACTTAAAAAGTTTCATCAGCCTCTACTCTACCAGATCTATGGCTGCAAAACTTGACTTTCATATAGAAATTAGAATAATTCTCTTACATACATGCTAAGTAAGAATAACTCATGCGTCTATTAAGCATGTGAATGAAGTTGGGGTTAGTATAGTAAAGTTGGCCGTAGTTTAGAATATGCTGCATATCCTTGATATTGATTATAATGGGAGTTTTGGTTCATAAAAAGAAAACTCTTACAAAGTAACTAAGCAACTTTTACCCTTTAAGTCGCTTTTTGTCGGTTCGGGTTTATAAAGACATGGTACGGACATTCGTTTGAGGATATGACTTTGTTTGGAATGTTGTTTTAATGTTAAAATCTCAGTTATCAAATTAAATTACCTCTTAAATGCAATCTATCCCCTTTATCTCAAAAAACCTATTGCAAGTTTGGCCATACCACACCACTCTGCATCATAATAAAAAATTATGTACGTGCAACTGGGACTGGCCTCGTATTGTGAAATCTGATCCTTCACATGCTGCATCTCTTCCTGTCCACAGACAGGACCACACCATAACTACATCATATTCTATAAATAAACCAGTGTTACTCAGACCTAGATAGCGAGCCCGTCTGCGTTATATCCCTGTCCGGTTTATAACTAGATCAAACTTGAGTAATTACTTGAACCAAGTCCAGACATTTGTTAGTAAAAATGGGCACAAATCTAGTAAAATATCTCTTGATTCACCATTTTCGCAGAATTGCCATCTGCACGCATGTCAGCTGTCAAATGTGGAAAACATTGACATTCAAAGAGTGCATTTACTGTTTAGCCCCACAAGCCAGAGTAGATCTAACTTCTCCTGCTGTCAGATCCTTAATTTATGACAAGCAAAACCAGCATTCAATCAAGTCTAAGTTGGTGTAGTAGAGAGGTGGAGGGGGCTTCCACGTTCAATGTGTTAGAAGGAGACTATTAGTTGAAACTACTAGTTTGTTGATTTTTGATCTGCCACATTGTAAATAATTTGCTGGGGGCTTCCTTTATGCATCCAACTTGAGTTTGATGATATAAAATTTTGGAGGGCAAAACCTTTTTGAAAGAATAAATAGTAAAATATGTCTTATGTTTATGATCAAGTGATGCATTAAGTTGCAACCTTTTAAGTGACACTATTGAGTTTCAATCTGACTGTTTCTTCTGTAGGGATGGTATACAGCAGAGAAGGAACTCATGGCAGGATGGAGTTTATGGCACAAACTGTCCAATCCTACCAGGGAAGAACTTCACTTACAATATCCAAGTCAAGGATCAGATTGGTAGCTTTTTCTACTTCCCGTCCTTTTTGTTCCACAAAGCAGCTGGAGGGTTTGGCGGCATCAGAATCTGGAGCCGTCCTAAGATTCCGGTTCCTTTCCCTAATCCTGCTGGAGACTTCACTGTATTAGCTGGTGACTGGTATAAGACTAATCATTATGTAAGCAACTAAGCATTCTATTTTGTCACATAACATGTTTATATTTTGGTTTTATGAATATTCAAACTTTGTTCCTCATCATATATATATTTATAATGTTCTCTTTTCGGAAATTTAGATACTGAGACGAAGCTACTTGGAGTTTGGTCGCAATCTTCCCTCCCCTGATGGGCTTCTCATCAATGGTCGTGGCTGGAATGGATACACATTTACTGTTGATCAAGGTATTCTAAAATGAACATCTCTTCTTCTTTGTATCCCTTCAACAAACAGAGCTCTTGCTTTGAATTTATCAGCTACCATCTGGGTAACTGTTTGTTTGCATGTGCTTATAACTAAAGGCATAATTGGCACCTCATTGTTTCAATAATTTGTGTGCAGGGAGGACATATAGGTTCAGGATATCAAATGTGGGGCTTACAACATCCATTAACTTCAGAATTCAGGGACACAAGTTGAAACTGGTTGAGGTAGAAGGGTCTCATACACTCCAGAACATCTATGACTCCCTTGACATCCATCTTGGACAGTCCTATTCTGTCCTGGTCACAGCTGATCAGCCTATCCAGGACTACTACGTCGTTGTCTCCTCGCGCTTCACCCCTCGAGTACTCACCACAACAGCCGTTCTTCACTACAGCAATTCGCGCAAGGGAGTTTCAGGTCCTCTCCCTTGGGGTCCTAGCACACAGGTTGCTTGGTCCCTCAGCCAGGCAAGATCTATCCGGTACTTCAAATTCTATGCTACATTATATCAACATAACACATAAATATGTCTTTACACATACAATGCTTTTTAAAATCTGACTGAAATCCAAGTTTGATCATTTTGTTGGTGTTTGAACCAGCTGGAACTTGACAGCAAGTGGACCAAGGCCTAATCCCCAAGGCTCCTACCACTACGGATTGATCAAGCCGGCCCGGACAATCATGCTTGCAAACTCTGCTCCTTATATCAATGGGAAGCAGAGGTTTGCTGTCAATAGTGTCTCATATGTTCAACCAGACACTCCTTTAAAACTTGCTGACTACTTCAAGATTCCGGGGGTTTTCAGCGTTGGAAGCATACCTACCAACCCCACAGGGGGAAGCGGCTACCTCCAGACCTCCGTCATGCACGCGAATTTCCGAGAGTACGTCGAGCTTGTGTTCCAGAATTGGGAAGATACCGTGCAGTCATGGCACATTGATGGCTATTCATTCTTTGTAATGGGGTAAGATCATGCGTATAGTTCTAAAACCAGGCGTTAAAATTATTTCTTGGTCTTATATGCTTGAGTGATTTTGACATTAATTGGTGGGATAAAATCTGCAGGATGGATGGAGGACAGTGGACACCGGCAAGTAGAGCACGTTACAATTTGAGAGACACAATTGCACGTAGCACAACTCAGGTATTGTGATTTTTGTAAGAAAATACTAATTGTTTGGATTGTTTTTATTTATTATTAAATGTTTGATTTTGGGATTTGTTTGGGTGCGCGCAGGTGTATCCGAGGTCATGGACTGCAATATACGTGGCACTGGACAATGTGGGAATGTGGAACGTGAGGTCTGAGAACTGGGCCAGGCAGTATTTGGGCCAGCAGTTCTATCTGAGAGTCTACTCTCCTGCAAATTCATGGAGAGATGAATACCCAATTCCAAGAAATGCTCTGCTTTGTGGCAGGGCAAGAGGCCGTCGCACTAGGCCTCTCTGAAATCTCATGCCATTCAACTATTAGATTCTATATATGCTTCAGTTGGGTCAATTTTTGTCACGAGAGGGTGACATTGTTTTATCCTAAGTTTAGGAGCATCCTTGTAATTGTAACAATTCGTTTCATTTGGAGCTCCTCTTGAGCTTCTAGATTTTTTTCTTCCAATATTGTTATTGCTAGATGGTTTATCCGCTTCAATAACTCCGACGGAGTAATCGAGTTATCATCCTAAATTGAGTTGATTTAATAAAGATAAATGATAATAACAGTTATTCATGCACTCGAAATTCTGTTTTTGATTTATCTTTTTCATTATGGCTTGTTTTTAAAAAAAATGAAAAGGTAACCGAAGACCGGCATAGACGATAGAGAAACAGATGCCAGCAAGCAAGGCAGCATTGTGTGAGTGTGTTATGCTTTGTGCTTCCTGGCTGTATGACAAGTTTGGCTTGCTACTTTCTCATTCATTCCATTCCACCATCATTGTTCGCTTTGCTTACTTGAGCAACAATATAAAATACCACAAGCTTTGCTTACAACGTCACACAACACTTGTCGTCTCCTATGCTTCTTCTGCCAATGCATGCCACACAGACTCAAGACTCAGAGACACAGACAGAGAGAGAAGAAAGAGAGAATATTCTTCCAATTCAAAACCGCCTCTCCGACTTTGGATCTGTCACTGAAACAGCATGGCCATGGAGGCCACGTTCCGCTTATGTCATGAATTTGGTTTCAGCCATTTTGGTCTTGTCCACATGAATTAAATTAAATCAATTAATTAGGAAACTTCCATCCAAATTCCCATCCCACCAATATGAATGACGTTTTCATCCCCGACGTGTCTCTCAGCCTGCAATGCCCGACATGCGAAGCATGTCTACGTTTCAAAATCTGCACACACACACCTCCCTCATCGTGCTCATCCATTGCTTGCATGTGTTGGGATTTGGAGAAATTATAGAGTGATGCGGATATAACTTCCCTTGTGAACGGGTTTGTTTCTTGCTTGCGTTTCACAATTGTGATGAGAGACGCGACTTTGAGTGATCCATTAGTTAATTTAATTGCATATGTGACTTATGAGGGAGGAGTGAAAAGTCTTTTCGGCTGGAATTAGGGGATGAGCTTGACCGGTGAGGAGAGTGAGAGTGTGAGAGTGAGGAGTGAGCGAAGGGAGCAGGTTTGATTGGATGGCAATGCAACTTGCAACTTGCAACTTGCTTATTTTGGTATGTTTCCTTTAGGACATGCAACTTGCTCAGCTCATCATATAACGTACGTTTGCCTTTCCTTTGTTTTCTTGTCAAACCTATTTATTTATCTTGTTATAACGTACGTTTGCTTTGCTGATTCCCATACTATTTCACATCTATTGACTCCCAACAAAGATTTTTTTATTATAATAATATTTTTATTATATTAATTAATAATTATACATTGACTTGACCTCACTCTACTTTTTAATAATTCCTGTTTAATCTTTTTAATACATCATCTCTTCTTCTTTCTTTTTTTTTCTTTTTTTTCACCCAGTATAGCAGTAATAAAAATCTATACTAAAATAAATATAGCAGTAATAAAAATATATATGGTTTGGGTTGGGTTTTTCCATTTTCACCCAATCATGAAGGCATGTTTGAACATAAAACCACACAACCTCTGCGCAGGACTGAAATTCTGTGGGGGTGGGGTGGGGTGTGTCCCAAAGTTTTTTCTTTTTCCCAATCGAAACTCCAAGGACTAAAAATTAAGTATCCCTTTGAGCCTGAGAAAAAAAAAGCTGCCGCTAAAGGACACAATTCTCACCAACTGGTCATCTCTGTATTTATTCTCTTTCAATTTGCTGAGCCCCTGCAGTGCAGAGGCCTCATCTGATATATATCATCACTCTCTCTCTCTCTCTCTCTCTCTCTCAAACAAGTCAGGCAATGAAGAGCTCTCTCAAGGGGTCTCCATCTTCCTGTGTTGACAATGGCGATGATGACGATGATCAAGCTGGACAGAGGTTGGTATTGTACCATCATTTGCTAGCTGCCGCTGATCATCATCAGAGAAGCGGCCTGCAGAAATCGCCGTCGTCGTCGTCAACTCCGGTGAGACCTTATGTTCGCTCGAAATTGCCTCGCCTTCGTTGGACACCTGATCTTCACCACTGTTTTGTGCATGCAGTCGAAAGGCTTGGCGGCGAACAAAGTAATTAAATTCCATCTCTCTTAGTTAAATAATATATATATCATTCACATAATAATTAATATATGATTTATTGTTCTTAATTAAAATTACAGGAGCTACTCCAAAGATGGTTTTACAGATCATGAATGTGAAGGGCCTTACCATATCTCACGTTAAAAGCCATCTTCAGGTAATTAATCTGATGATTAATTAATTCAAATCCCCCCTTTTTTTTGGCCTTCTGCGATTTTTTGCTTTTTAATTATTTTTATTTTTGTTCATTCTTTCTCACGTTGAGGTTTGTGACGGACAGATGTACAGGAGCATGAAGCATGAACAAGGCATCCAAGGTACACATGTACAGAGCATATTCTATTCATGAACTCATGCATTCCCCCTTTGACTAATTTGAAAGAAAACTTTTGGTCCATGCTTTTGTAATTTTTCATCTTTTGAAAGAAGCTAAGGAGAGACTCTGTAATTCTTTATAAAGCTCTAGCTAATAATAATTGAATTGAACATAATATTTGGTTGCAGCAGCGGCTATGGCAGCAAAAAAGAATGGTATGTTCCAGGCCTTGGAGCACCCAACCAACTCAAACTTATTGAAACCAATCAATAGCAATCAACCTCGTTATTTTCAAAACAACGATGGGATGCAAAACACGTACAACTATGGACCCTGCCAAAGCAATCAAACTTGCTACATTGAACAGCTTGATCTCAACACTACCAGCCCACTGCCAAAATGGTTCATTTCTGAATTAATTATATTATCTCCCTCTATAATTTCCCTTAATTATACTTATGTGGTCTTAATTTTTACAGGGAGAAAAAAGTGACGAGGGAGCAGAATCCAAATTCCTTCATCATATTCAAGGATCTACTCAAAAGATGCACTGATGCACAAGTACCACTATCTCTCTCTCTCTCTCTCTCTCTCTCTCTCTCTGTAGCTGCTATGTCTCTCTGGGCTCAAACAGCTATTTTATATATTTGTGGAAATATTCCATATATAATTACGTATGACTTTTCAGGAGAGCAATGATCAAGGAAAAGCTGTGTCGCTAGTGAGTGCAGGTTGCAAGAGCAATCATAAAGAATTTGAAGATGTATTATTATGTGAAGAAAGTGAAAGTAGCATGAGAGTAGTTTCTAATAATGATGCAAGAATGTCTCTATCACTCAACTCGTCACCGAAAGCTTCTCATGAGCTGTTGAGGCTCAGCAAAGCTGCTGGGAATTCAGATATGAATGATGTCTCTCTTGAGCTTACTCTCAGTACTTAGACTATATATTCATGCACATAATCGATAGAGACAATGTGGAAACTTCATAAAAAAGTGCCCTCTTTTTTTATTTTGCAATATTCTCCTCCAATATCTAGTTATCTACATATGAACGACTTGCTAGCGAATCTATAAAATTAAACTCATCCAATAACAATTAACCAATAAGGCTCTCTAAAGTACGAGTGACAAAAAAAAAATGTAAATAGCTTGACATATAAAATACTGTTATCAATTAACTTGGTCACAGAAATGTCATGTGATTTTTCATCCGACTTTCGAGCAATGTGTGTGTGATATATATATGTAAGGAATATATTTTAAATTTTCTCTTGTGATGAAAAATGTGTGTGATTTGACTTTAGAAAGTAGTTCTCTCTTCTCTCTCAACCAAGCCAGTTAGAGATGAGTTGACTTCATGCAAAAACAAAGCAATTAAGGGAATGTTTATGTTTCGTGATAAAACTACAAATATAGGTTACTCATGTACATGAAGTGGGATATACATATATCTTCCCTAATTTCAACCTACCAGCTTCTCTACTCTTGTTCTTTCATCTATATATTGGAGCGTTTGTCCCGAAGAGCCAAATGTCCCAAATCGAATATCACAAATCTTTGGCTTAAATATTCTCTCACATAAGAAGAAGAATATCTATTTATATATAGATTCCTGATGGCTAGCTCTACTAAGGTTTTGGTGTTTGTGCTTGTTGGTGCGCTTATATTCATCAGTGGCACTACATATGCCAGGATGGTTAGTGAGGATGTGAGCAAAAAGGGTGGTGGTGCTTTTAAGGAGGCCAAGACATATGCATTTTTCCATCACAAGTTTCCAGGTTATGGATATGGATTAGGTAAAGGCATAGGTTTTGGTGGTGACTTCGGAAGTGGAGTAGGCTATGGTGGTAATGTTGGTGGGTTTGGGAGTCAAACTGGGTCGGGTTCCAGTTCCGGTTCTGAATCTGGCACTGGCACTGGCACTGGAGCTGGATCTGGATCTGGATCTGATGCCGCAGCCGGAGCTGGGGCTGGGTCTGCAGTTGAAGGGCAAGGTGCTGGTGGTGGATCGCCTTGAGTGTTCTATATATGTATGCACTAATTCTTCCACCGGTTCTCAACTTGTGGCTGCAACCCATGTATTAATATATATATATAGTAGCTAGCTAGCTAGCTATATAGTTACTTTGTACTATCATTTGGTCGATGTACTACTGGATCTATGGAATAATTAAAAGCTACCCAATTTAAATGTTCTCTTTTGAGTTATTCTCCCTCTCTGTTCTTATTATTATTAGTGAAAACACTGATTTGATATTGATTCTTAAGTAGAAATGGGTGGTGACACAGTAAGAAGTTTGTAGCTCAAATAATTAAGAGTTATTGCCTCTGCATTGGAATTTCCGCTCTTCAGTATCGTTTGTGTAAGAAATTGATGGGGATATGGTCCATGGGACTCTATGAGCCCAACGTTGGATTGGATACAAGAGGAGACTAACATTTCACCTGGCTTTTTTGGACTGAACTGTAGTAGTGGGCTAACCACAATCCAGGACCATGTTCAAAGATTCAAAATGAGATATACTTTTTTATTATCAGAATTTAAAATGAGATCTAATATTCAGAAAAATAAAATGAAAAAAAGAAAGAAACACCAACATATATTTGATATCCAAAAAACATTGGGATGTGCTTAATTCTTTCATCCCAAACTTAAGCAAAAACATATCCCCATCTCAACTACTACTCCCTTGCCATTGGTGTCCAGAATGTCCCTGCCCTCACCAACTTTGGTCGTTAAGCGATCACCTGTCCTCAGTTCCACAATATGGATACCTATGTACTCAATTCAAGGGCCAACAAAACAACTTCCCTGGTGGGTCCCGCTTTTACTACAGTTTTAGTCAACCTCGGACGAGATGAGCGGCATAGATACTGTCGCGTCTGACTCTGCCATCACAGCCGTTGATACATCAAAATGCACAAGAAAGGAATCTGGGTGTGACTGAGACTGTGTGAAAGACTGAAACTTTTTTCCCTAAAAAAATTATTTCTTTTATTTTTGGGTAAAGCTAAAAGATTTCTAAGAGGAGTGAGAAATGAGAAAGTGATAGCATTTCATCAAAGAATAGAAGATTGGGGTGTTTTGTCAGGTAGTGGTATCACCACTCGCTAACGATGGGGTGTTTTGGTTGTCTCGAAATCGATTAGGAAGGGAAAACCCTCCTCCACCCACTATATACCACCAACCATTTTTTCTTTTCTTAAAATTTTATCAACATATCTGTCTCTGTATCTCGTACTTACACTCACATATATAAAAATCCCATCTTTTTTAAATCTGTTTTTCTGAGTTTGGAGATGCTCCTTTGGGCTCTCAGATTTGCCTGTATTTGAAGAACAACAGATACCAGAGAGGACAACCCACGTCTCAGTATGTGAGTTTTCTCGTTCTCTCTCGTATGTGCAATTGCATTTCATTGGGTTTGTTTTCCTGAGCATCTCTTTTTCTTTTTGTATTTTCGTTTTCCTTTCCAGATTAAATTATGTAAGATTAGGAGATCTGTGTGGTTGGCTTGCTTACTCTTTGATGGTTCTGAATGATTGAGATCCACATGGTGATAATGCTCTGATTTATTGGAATGCGTTAAAACATGATTGTTCTTATAATCGAATCTGATTGATTCAGTAGCATTTTTCAGTGGTCTAAAATTTGTTAACTTGACTCGGTGGATTCTCAAATGTACAGTTTTATAGGGGTATTTAGCAGTGGTTTGTAAAGGGACCTGCTTGATCATCTCAACTGTGTTTTTATACCATTGGATGACTTTAGAGTCTATATATCTATATCTCATTTTGATGATAATGGTAGTGTCTCAATGCAACTCTATAAACCAGTCTATATGAAGTGGGATGCAACATTTTTGATGGTTGATTATTGTTCTTGGAGAGATTTGAGGATGTAGCTTGAATGTTTAGTTCCCCATTTCGAAAAGTTCTTAGTGATAGGACAAGATATAGAAGTATATCATTTCTGTTGTTTGAGACCTATCTGTATTTTATAACATGGACCTAAAAGTCACTATGATTATGTATATCAGATATTTCTGCTAAGATGAGAGGAGCGGGTTTGTGGCAACTTGGCCAGTCAATCACCCGACGCGTTGCTCAGGGTGATAAGAAGGCTGTAGCTCGCCGATACTTTGCCTCGGAAGCTGAGCTCAAAAAGACAGTTCTCTATGACTTCCATGTTGCTAATGGCGGAAAGATGGTGCCATTCGCTGGATGGGGCATGCCTATTCAGTATAAGGACTCAATCATGGACTCCACTCTAAACTGTAGGCAGAATGGTAGCCTGTTTGATGTCTCCCATATGTGTGGGCTGAGCCTAAAGGGGAAGGACTCCATTCCATTCCTTGAAAAGCTTGTCATTGCTGATGTTGCTGGACTTGCCCCTGGAACAGGGACCCTCACTGTCTTTACAAATGAGAAGGGAGGGTCAATCGATGACTCTGTGATTACCAAGGTTACCGACGACCATATATACCTGGTGGTGAATGCTGGATGTAGGGATAAAGATCTTGCTCACATTGAAGAGCATATGAAGGCATTCAAGGCTAAAGGGGGAGATGTCTCATGGCACATCCATGATGAGAGATCTCTTCTAGCTCTCCAGGTCAATCCTTTTCCTTTGATTCTTATTATCTTTCTTCTAAATCTAAATATTCCGTTTTGCTAGAACTGATTGTTTGATTGCAAGTTTTGCATATTTGAAACTTGTCTGATTCAACTGCTGCTTCTTTTCTCTTACATCAAAGACCAATTTCAAAGAAGTTTAAGTTAAGTACGGTAATTAGAACTGTTGAACTCAATTGAAACTTACTTAGACTGATTTGGCCAATAATTCACCAGTTAAAACTGTTGCGCATACAATAGTGAAGCAGGCTGACAATTGGGCATGGTTTTATTTTGCTTAAATAGCTGATTAATATCTCTTATGGTTTGATTTTGCTCCAATAGCTGATTAATATCTCGTATAGTAAAATGTATAATGAGGAAATTAATTATTCTGTGCAGGGACCTCTTGCGGCTCCAACTCTCCAACACTTGACGAAAGAGGATTTGAGCAAGTTGTATTTTGGAGAGTTCCGAATTTTGGATATCAATGGGGCGCACTGCTTTCTCACAAGGACTGGGTATGTTCTTCCATATGCATTCATGTGAAGTGAATGTGATTACTAAGAAAATGATTGAAGATGATGAGTGAAGCAATTTGACTCTGTTCTATGCTTTTCTTTGGTGATATCTGAACAAAGCATCCAGGCCTCAGACTGCAAACTTTCGTATCTGTTTGTTTTTTTTGGTCAACAACTTTCATATCTGTTTAGTTTACAAATTTGTTATTATTTCCGTTTTCATCTACTTGGCATTTCTCCTATTTTATTGGAGTGAGCAATTAATGACATTTGATTGCGCTTTTCACTGAGCATTGTAGGTACACTGGTGAAGATGGATTTGAAATTTCAGTTCCTTCTGAACATGCAGTGGATCTTGCCAAAGCAATCTTGGAAAAATCTGAGGGGAAGGTGAGGCTGACAGGATTGGGTGCTCGTGATAGTCTCCGGCTAGAAGCTGGGTTGTGTTTGTATGGCAATGATATGGAGCAACACGTAACACCTGTGGAGGCTGGACTCACATGGGCTATAGGGAAGAGGAGAAGAGCGGAAGGTGGCTTTCTTGGTGCTGAGCTGATACTCAAACAACTTGAGGAAGGTCCTTCAATCCGGCGTGCTGGTTTCATCTCTTCAGGCCCACCTGCTAGAAGCCACAGCGAGATTCAAAATGAAAAAGGTGAAACCATTGGGGAAGTCACAAGTGGAGGATTTAGCCCCTGCCTGAAGAAAAATATAGCCATGGGGTACGTGAAATCTGGATCACACAAGGCTGGCACCAAAGTTAAGATTATTGTCCGAGGAAAGGCCTACGATGGAACGGTCACAAAAATGCCTTTCGTACCTACAAAATACTACAAGCCATCATAATCCAAGTGCTGTATTTCATCACTGGGATTTTCTAATGTGTCCCCTTTGATTTCTTGATAAACTTGACTGCTTCTGTCAATGCTAATTTCCTTTCTCCACTTGCTCTGAATCTGGAATGGAATGGGATTTATCTTTTGTTTTGTGTTGTTTATGTTCCACCGCTTACCAACTTGGATGATCTTTACTGTTGATATTTACAGTTTCATAGCTTAAACCGACATGTGATTGACCATGTTATAATAATCGACGGGACAGATCAGTCTGACGTAAATTACAACCTAGAAAAAGACTGAACGCATTTATTAGGGATTATTAGATTGACCGCAATGTCCCCTTACCCCATTATGAGCGACTCCCAACTCCAGGGCCAAGTCCAACCATGCAATGGTAAGACATTGTCTCAGAGTCAACATTTCCGGTGAATCTAAGCCATCCAATCCAGACCAGTTTCTTGTTGTTTTGATGATAAAAATATTCCAAAACGCCATAAACAACTTTATTTTGTTCAACTACTAAATTCACAACTCCCTCCTCCTAAACTAAGGGCATAAATTATGTTTAAAAAGTCAATGACTCTCAGAACACGGTTGTTTAAACACTTAACAAAGCTTAATAGATAGATTTAAAAAAAAAAAAAAAAAAAAAAAAAAAAAAAAAAAAAAAAAAAAGTCTAAATGTTTCTATGTCATGACAGCAAATGATGCAGAAACAAAAAAATCAAACACATTCTTCTGCGAATATTGTAGTGTGAAAAATTTGTGTTAACATTAATTCTTCTATGTTACATGATTGTACAAAGAATCTATTGTTACATTCTAAAAAGAACCAAAGAATCAGAGGAATTTTCCTATTTCTGTTTGTACAACATTTGATGAACTACTTAGAAAAGCTTGCAACCAAATTCATCTATGGATGTTCCCTCGAGACGAGATGAAGCTGATTTTGATGCAAGTTCTCTAAGCTGATCCGAGCTTCTTCCCAATTGCATAGCAACCTTCATTTCAAACAACTCCCCATTTTCTCTTTTCTCCAAATCTTGTTCTTCAAGTGTGGCTTGAATTGTATCCTCCAATTTGTTGAAGAAGCCAGCGCAGTTCCTATACATCTCAAACACCATCCCAATTTGCCCACCATGCTGAAAAGCATTAACTGCGCTAGCCAATGACCCTGCAGCCACTGCCACTATGGCACTAGCTGACCCATGGCCCACAAAAGCAGAGCCAATGGCTGCAACCCCAGTTAGCAAAGGGCCTGAGATTGCCAAAATCTTGTTGATCTTCAACACCAAGCTCCCCAGTCTCTCATAGTCTTCTATGTCTTTCGTCTTCACCACTTCAATAATTTCTCTCATTTCCTCTTCAAGTTCAGCACTCCACCCATTAATCTTTCCCATCTGGGAGTTGGGTTTGCTTGGCTTTTGAGATTGAATATTTTTAGGCCACCAAACAGCTGGCTCAAATTTTTTAGGGAACTTTTCAAGCATGGCTCCAAGCAAAGGAAGTGGATAAGCTTTGTCAAGTGCCAAGACCTTCTCCATAGTGTCCTTCACATCTTGTTCAGTAGGATCATGAAGAGCAAGCATGGTTTGGATTTGGCTCTGGAGCTGCTTGAACAATCTTGTGGCATTGCGTTGTTCCTCAGCGAGCTGCGAAGGCTGGATCTTGTTCATCACAAGAAGCATTCCGGAGGCTGCAGAGAACAAAAGAGTGGAGGAGATGTTCAAGGCCAAAACGGACACTCCAGCACCGGCTGCAGTGCCTGCAATTCCAGCCATGAGTGAAGCTGAGAGAGTGATCATGTTGATGGAGTTGAGAAGAAGCGTGTTCCAGTTGTCGCGCTGCTCGCGAATGTTGTTGTGCATCTCAACTCTGTCTGCTACGGCTTCTAAGATTGCATAGAGCTGAGTTATAGCAGCTGTAGGAGTTGCTGGAGTGGCAGAATGGTTATTGTATGAATCATTATCAAGGATATGTTTTGGTTCCCTCAATTGAAGCCCCTCAAGAACTAGCTTTGTTGCTGTTTTTGGGACTGCGAAGCGGACTCTTGGGAGCTTGGGGACATGGATAGCAGCATTGATATTTGATCTCCTTGAAGAAGAACAGGATGAAGAAGAGAAAATGAGAGTTGAAGTTTGCAAGGAAGCCATTTAACTTGTTGGGTTTTCTTGGATCTCTTTGGTTGTGAAGTAATTAGAGTATTGAAATCAGAGAGGATCTGAGTTTTTCTCTTTGGTGCCTTTGTTGCTGTTGTTGTTGTTGTAGGAGGAGAGGAGTTTGAGATGAAAATAGAAGGTCCAATTTGGTCTTATTTATAGTGGGGAAGGACAGCTGAAACTGAATGAAAGGAAGAGGTCAGATTTGGGGAAAATGTTGTATGTTGACCGCTTGAACGGGCAAAGTAGACTCAGCCCATTGGCTGACCTGCAAGCCTGACCCATTCCCTTATTTTAAATTTTCTCTGTTCAAGATTTGGTCCACTAAGGCTTCACACACACTCCCTCTCTCTCATGCAAACATGCAGTAGCGATACCCTACGTGGTACTTCACCTTGTCAACAATTTAATAAGCTGCTAGCAACTTGCAAGTTTTGTGACCTCCTATTTGATTGAAGTGGTCTCTTCACTGGGTTTTTAAGATGGACCGAGTGTTTTTTATTTATCCAACTACTAGTTTTCAAACCTCAACATTATATCATAATTTTCTAAATGTTTGGTCTTTCTTTTTTGGTACGCTTGTATCATTCCGATCCTTGTCACTTGAATCAATAGTGGGGTTGCTTCTATTAGTGCTTTAAAATATGTTGAAAGGAGTTGCTCTTTAAAAAAATACATATCATTTTCAAGACTCAATTTCTAAGGATCATCTTATATCATTATAATATCACAATTATTTCACAAAAATACAAGTCACCAAATACCATGTTAACATCTTTTCATTGTCAGAAATAAATGAAGTTGATGAGTAACCTAAAGCAGTAATGACTTGTTTTCTAGCATTGTATATTATACACAAATCACACATAATATAACAAAACAAAATGTAATAAAATAGATAACCAAATTGTGTAAGGTAAAGTAGGTTTAGGCTTGAATACGTGAGTTAAGCAAATTTTTCAGGGTGGTGAGTTCGCCTCATTGCAGCCAAGTTCGATTTTCCTTTTCCGTAAATTAAATTAATTTAGATTGTTGCTTGTATTTAAAAAAAATTGAAAATAAAAATAAAAAAATTTAGGCTTGGTTTGACGCCGTGAGGGTTTGAGCGTTTCCAATTTTGATCGGATTATAAATTGACTTTTCAATTTTCCAACTTTCCATTCGGAACCCATACCATATGTCAACTTTACGTTCGGAACCCGTTCCTAAAAGGAAGAAAAGGTCTGCTTGCCTGTGCTTGTAAAAACCGTAAAAGGAGAATATATGCGAAGTAACCCAAAAGATACTCTCCCCTGATAATTGGGCACTCCGCTCCGGCGCAGCCATGGAGGGACCATACAATACAAACAAAATCTCTGCTTGACAGTCTTGAGCTACAGTTAGATGCCTCAGAGATATTTCACTTAAAACTATAAACTGAAAAGCGCAAACAGTTAGTTCCTCTCAAGAATTGGAAGACACTGTAACAAGGAAAAGCATGGGGTCGATTGCGAAGAAGGGGTTGCAGCAGTACTTGCTTCAGCTTCAGCATCATCCTCTCAGAACTAAGGTCAAATCCCGTGTCTCTGTTAATCTCACTTCTGTTGTTTCAGTCCAATTTTGTGATGAGGTTACCTTGATTTCCTCTATTTTCCGTTTAAACTCCTGCTCGCTTAGTTGCCCAGAAAGTTTAGGGAAGAAAGCCAAAAGAAAGGATTTTCTTTATAGTTTTAGGTTGTTTTCTCATCTGGGTTTTCAAAGATATTGTCTTTTAAACTCAATTATGGCTGGTACTTGTGCTAATTTAGTCTCTCTATCCTAGCCATCAAATGCTGTTAATTGGGAATTTTTGGTGATACCTTCGTTTCTTTTTCGAACAGGCAATTACAGCTGGGGTTTTGTCAGCGATCAGTGACATAGTGTCTCAGAAGCTCACCGGCATCCAGAAACTTCAGTTAAGACGGCTGCTTCTCAAAGTGGTAAGGTCCCATTTTATTCTGGTTTCTTGGTTTTCCAATTACATAAAAGATTTGTATATTTGATTAGCGTGCGCTCGCGACTGTGTTTTTCTTTCTTCTATATAATTGGATGCTAAGCAGTTGAGCTAAATGAATGGAAAGATCCCAATTCCCTACTGTAGCTAAATGATGCTGTTTCTATTTGATCATTGCCACACACACACACACACACATTTCGTTGGGCTAAACTCATAGCCATTGCTCAACCTTAATTAGAATAAGTTCTCAGCTAGATTTGGTCTGAAAGACCAACGTAACACTTATGAATATGATTACACTGGATGGCATTTCAATCAAGTGGATGCCTAAAACCTCACCCTGCATATCACACACACCCCTGACCTGGGTTTTTGGATTAAGGCATGCAGTTAAAGAAGATAATATCACTAACCCTTTTTACAAACTAATGTAGCAAACAGAAAATATCCCGGTAAAATGCAAAATATACAGCATGGTTGTCAGGGATAATGACAAACTCATTATGCAGTCATAATTACAATCATTATTGGGTGATATGTACGTTCTTGTTTTTCTGAGAAGATTCTGTAAGAAGTTTGGGTGGATCTTCAGGACTCTATTTGCTTGGCCCTAAAAGTATTAATGTGCTGAAGGAAAAAACGTTTAATTTTTTTGCTATATATGCACACATGTCTATTGCTAATATGTCAATTTTGATGTGTACAAGTAATATTACATATGTTGCCCATTACAACCTTGCATTTCTGCATGCAGCTTTTTGGAGCTGTTTATCTTGGACCATTTGGGCATTTCCTGCATTTAATACTTGATAAGATTTTCAAGGGGAAGAAAGATTCAAAAACAGTAGCCAAGAAGGTAAGGCTACTCTACTTGCCTTCACACGCTTTGGTTTTTGGTTGGGAAATCCATGGTAAAAAGAAGTGACTTTTCCCCCAGCTATTGAAACCCCACATGGCTGCAGAAGTCCGAGTCATGGGTTCCTACACTTCATATTAATTATAGCCATCGTTATTTAAGTGGCATAACTTCTGATCTCTTCCTCTTCTTAAACCAAAAAGGTTGTGCTTATAAAGAAGATTTTATTGGTCGTTCTAAAATTTCTAATCAAATTATTTCAGGTGCTGGTGGAACAGTTGACATCTTCTCCTTGGAATAACTTGCTTTTCATGCTTTACTATGGCTTGGTTGTGGAGGGTAAGTATATAATATGTCAAAACTTGTGTTCATCAATTTTTTATGTTTGAAATATTGGGATGTGAGAAATACAGTTGGAATGCAGTAGTTCCTCTCAGTCCTTAAATTTGATTAAGATCTAAGCGTTGAGATTATAATATTATTAGTCAAACAACTCTGAAATTTTCAAAGAAAGTCAGCCTAAAAGAGGCATGTTAGCATGTGGGACAGATATGAATGTAACAGCTTATGTGAACTTTGCTGCTTATTGTCTAAGAAAAGATGTGAAACGCAGGAAGACCCTGGATGCATGTAAAGAATAAAATTAAGAAGGACTACCCGTCGGTGCAATACACATCTTGGACGGTATAATTCTGTCTCCATTGTGATTTTTTAGGAACACCTTGTCAGGAAACATAACACATTTTAAACCTTGACGGATGAAAATGCAGTTCTGGCCTGTTCTGGGTTGGATAAATCACCAGTATGTCCCTCTCCATCTCCGTGTCGTCTTCCACAGCTTGGTCGCTTTTGGCTGGTACAAGCTATAAGCTTAATCTCCTTTTTTCTCTATAATAATTAATATCCATGTTGTTTTTTGGTTCCTTGTAATATTTCCCGATTCATTAACAAACTGGCTGGCCTTGTGCTTTTTTTCTTTTTTCAGGGGAATTTTCCTAAACTTACAAGCAAGATCTGTGGCATTACCAAAGGCAAAGTGAAGCAACGGAAATTTTTCGATTGGCCTCAGATAATTTGTGCTCCCTCCAAGTTACTTCTAGTCACGGATGGTCTTTCTTCAACAATTATGAAGTCTACATATAGTAGATATAAGCCCTGGATCTCCTTTTCATGTATGCTGGATCTTGTGAACATTATTCGAAATGACTAAATGTGTGATCTATGCTTATTATTTTTTGGTAAGCAAGTATGAATTGACATGCTACATTGCATTATATATTGTTGCAATGAACTGCAACGCCTCCAAATCTAAGCTGTAAATTGCTTAACTTGTTGGCGTTGGAGACCACACTTGCATTGCAATTGCATGTGAATGCGACAGCTCAAAGCCTCAAAGCACAAAGCAGGGGTCATATCGTATAATAAACCACAAAGATTTTGCTTATGTTGCAAATAAGCCATGAAGGACAGCGACTCATTCTCTAAGAGCAACTCCACCTATTTGCCCTTAGCCATGGCAAGGGGGGGAGCTAGGGCAGCAACTATTCACGTGAATAGTGGTTGCCCTTGCAAAATCAGAATTTTGTGTTTCCACCCATTGCCCTAGCTAAGGGCAGTTACTATTCATTTTTTTGTTTTATTCACAATTTTTTTACCTCAATAATTAATTTGGATAATATTTACGGGTTCCTACGTGTCAACACTATTCATAATCGGATAAAATTTCGGGATAAGATTTTTGGGTTCAAATTTCGGATGAATTTCAAAATTCAAAATTCAGATAAATTTTTGGGTTCAAATTTCGAATGAATTTCAAAATTCAAATTTCGGATGAATTTCAAAATTCAAAATTCAGATGAATTTGGGTTCAAATTTCGGATGAATTTCAAAATTCAAATTTCAGATAAATTTGGGTTCAAATTTCGGATGAATTTCAAATTTCAGATAAGATTTTCATCCAATCAAATCAAGCCACGTGGCATCTCTATCTTGCCAAATTTTTCTATAAAACCAGAGGCTCACATCATACCTCTCACACCACATCTTTCAATATTTTCATTTCTTAGAGTTTAGAATTCATACTCCATTCATTCTCAATGGAAGAATATAGGAGATGTTTGGAGAGGCACGAGAGAGAAAGAAAGGAGAGAAACCGTACGAGGCGAGTCCGGAATTTTTTCGCAAAATTCGGCATGAATTTTTTTCCACATATGGAAAAATTTCATCTCATTGCCTGACAAGGGACAATGACAAACTCGGAGCCAAGCCTCACACAAAGAAACATCTTCCATGGTGCTCCACGCCCCTCCGGTTTCAATAGAAGAAGCCATAAAAATAAAAACTAAAATTACAAGGTGAAAGAGATGAAAATGTTGAGTGAAGAGTGAAGAAAATGTTGAGTGAAGAGTGAAGAAAATGTTGAGTAATTGTAGAAGTAGAATAAAATGTATGAGAATTGGTGTTGAAATTGAAGGGTATTTGTAGGTATTTATAGGAAAAAAAATCAGAATTTTTTAGTATTTTTTTAAAAAAAATTTCGATTTTTTTCATAATTTTATTGTCCAAAAATCGCCAGCTATTGGATTAACATTTGGAATCAAATTGGAGCGCTGGGGGAGTGCCACGTGGCTTCCACCCGTTGTGGCTGACGTCAGCGCACGCAGGTTCAAATTTTTTAATGCACGCGCCAACGGTAAAAAAATTTGAATACCGCGTGATGACGTCAGCCTGACGTCGTCATGACGTCACCCCCACCGCGTTTTGGACCTGAGGCGAAAGTTGCCTTCGGGCCAACCCGGGTAGGTGCTCCCCCCCCCCCCCCCCCCCCCCCCCCCCCCCCCCCCCCCGGGCCTGGTCTTCCCGCTGGAACGAGTTTTTTGTTTTTTTCCCCCCTCCCCTCGGGCTGGGCTGCATGGCTGGAATAACTCTAATAGAATGGCAACTTTGAATAATCTATCCACCTTATGCCATCTCTCCTTGAATTGAGGGCTGAATATTACACTGACCGTGACCCCGAATACGTAATCAGATTCTGTTCCCGCTTTGCACCATTGTTTTCTTTGCAAAACGAGTATGAGATGTGTCTAAAATGAACTTTGGGATGACTTGCTAATTACACCTTGTGTGCATCCCCAAGTCGATGCTTGTAATGTAAGGCTTTGAAAGATTACCATAACAAATTATAGTAAAGTAGGATGTTCAAAGATTAAACGCTAAGAAGGATTAGGAAATATAATTCATCAACTGGTTATGTAAGTTTTTCATCAACTGGTTATGTAAGTTTGACTGATTTAGACATAGCGTGGAATTGCGAATTGCAAATTGCAAATAAAGAAGAAGCCACTACTATGATGATGAAAAACACATCATCTTTGCACCAATAGAGAGCACATTAAGCACCCGTACATCACTTTGCATGTATTTTAATTCATCCACGTGTGGCATTTGAATGAACCACAAGACCTTCCCACCATAGGATGAGAGGGGAAATGCCACTAAGGCCTACTAGGCCATTGCCAAAATTGAGAAATCAATTAAAATGTAGACCAACAGTTTACGACAAATATTGGATTGGAATGAAGATTTCTTCGGATTCTTTGGAAATTAATTTTAAAAAACAAATATTCCTTCTGCCTAAGAAATTGGTTTTGTTTATTAAAAAACCACGTTCATAATATTTTATTTATAAAAAAAAAATAGATAAACTAGATTAAACTAAAATGGACTGACAATTTATTCTTGTTGTCCATGAAATATTTTTACAAAACAAAAGTTAGGAGTAGGCACATTATTAATATCGGTGCCTCAGCCCTCCAAACTGAATATTGTGTCAAAGCTCAAACCCCAAGAGGAGAAGTGGTTGACCAAAAACAATAGATGAGAAGTGATCTAATAAGCCATGAGAGGTTGAGCATAATATTCAAACTATCAACAACCACCTCCCAAGTTTGACAGTTTGATCGAGCCAAAAAGAAAATATGGCAACCTTTCAAGTTTCAAGCATCTTTTGTTTGATGGGTTCGCCTGATCAAATGCGTTTTCCTAAAGGAGGAGCAATTAAAGCCACCACCAATAATGCACCAAAATTCCAGGTGAGTCCAATTTCTCTTCCCAAGCTCCCATCCAGAAGTTTGGTTGACAACTTGGACATCACAAGTAATGGTTACAAAATCCCAAGTAATAACAGTGCAAATCATTCTGATGATCCAATGGTTACTTCTAAGCTGTATGCCATCATGGAGGCTATTGCAGACAGAGTGGAGATGCATAAGAATATTGGAGCACAGCGTGACAATTGGAACCACCTCCTTCTGATGTCCATCAATGCAATTACTCTCGCTGCTGCAACCATGGCAGGAACTGCCGCCGCCACTTTTGCTGTTACAACCGGAGCACGAGCGCCGTTCATGGCTCTCAAGCTCTCTTCCACTATACTTTATGTAGCAGCCACTGGAATGTTGGTGGTGATGAACAAAATCCAACCATCCCAACTTGCTGAAGAACAGAGATACGCAGCTAGATTGTTCAAGCAGCTTCATGCCCAGATTCAAACAACACTATCACTTCACAGTGAAAATACTGTGGTGGATGTGAATGAAGCAATGGAGAAAGTCTTGGCATTGGACAGAGCCTACCCACTTCCTTTGTTAGGTGAAATGCTGGATAAATTCCCCAAAACTGTGGAACCAACAATCTGGTGGCCAAAACAAAATCACAGAAGAGCTCAAGGGGCTGAAGGAAAATTAATAGATGGAAATGGTTGGAGTAAAAAATTGGAAGAGGAAATGATAGAGGTAGTTGGGGTTTTGAAGAGCAAGGATGTGCCAGAATACTTGAAGTTGACTGAGAAGGCCTTAAAAATCAACAGAGTTATGGCCATCTCTGGCCCTACATTAACTGGCCTTGCAGCATTGGGGTCTGCTTTTGTGGGTTCTAGTGGTACTTACGGGGTGTGGGGTGTGATGGCAGGAGTTATTTGTGGAGCTTTAGCAAGTGTGGTGAACACATTAGAGCATGGTGGCCAAGTTGGAATGGTGGTTGAAATGTATAGAAGCAATGCTGGTTTCTTTAGACTCATGCAAGAGACTATAGAATCAAATGTGAAAGAGAAACAAGTTGAGAGAAGAGAGAATGGGCAGGTGTTTGAAATGAAGGTGGCTTTGCAGCTGGGAAGGAGCCTATCAGAACTCAAGGATCTTGCTGTTTTCTCCGAAAAGTTTGCAAGCAAGCTATTCTAGTGTTATATACGTTGGTTTCACTTTCTAATTTGGTTAGTTGTGTGATGTAATTTGTAGATTATGTAACATTTAACTTTGTTCATAAACATCATCGCCATGTCTCACTCGATTAACAATCAAATAAATCAGGTGGTGTCAGCTTGATATACATTGTTGGTTCATTCTCTGACAGCTTAAGTTTTTTGAGATTAGTGGTTGTCTAACATGAAATCAGAGTCTTCTATGTAAGTGGTCTTGAGCTCGATTCTTGTTCCCCACACCCTTGTTGGTTTGCAAGGTGTAGGGCGGAGCTACACCTATATGTTTGTCTCTCTCCTCTTGTGCAAGATCGCCTTGCACGAACAAACTAAGCTAGCCCATATGGCATTTGATCAAAGGGTAAAACCCATGATTGTAAGCCCAATCCAGCCCACTATGAAATCCGAATGCTACATTTCAAAATTCCATTACTTGGTTATTAAAGTTCTCTCTTATGCATTGCACAACTTCGTTAGATTAAAGATGGACGGGCGTGCAATGCAATATCAGCTCATAATTTGGAAATCTTTGCCTTCACCACCCACATATATTTGCCAATTTGCCACTTTGCCACAAGCGGCAAGTGATTTGTAAATCTGTCACCATCAATCAATTCCCTTATATAAACTGCTTGCTTGTTAAGTAAAGGCCAACGAAAGGCCAAAAGGCTTTATGCTTTTTGCTCGCCAACTGCCATTGATGATGGATCTGGGTTATCGACACCAACCAACCAATCAGTAAAAAATGGTACAGTAAAGCAATATGAACATGAGAGATTTGGATCTGTATCTATATGGTTAACCTAACGTGACCTTCATGATGTCTCTCAGCTAGGGAATTAATTTACATAAAGATATTAGTATTAGTATAGGATCTTACTATTCTATCCTTATTCATGGTAAGAATTACTTTTTGACCACCAATATAGTTGAAGAAGGATTTATTTGCTTTCTTTCATTTCATTTCATACCCTCCATCCTTCTTCAATAACAACTAAACCGACATACGCTTCCTAAAGCTTTCAACTTTCACACATATACTGGCATGCTCTGTTTTACCCACTAAAACTACAAGTCTGGGAAGATGATTCAGCTAATGTTCATAGTGATTTTGTCAGAGATGGCTCTGATACTGGCGTTTTTGTTTAGGACCCCATTTAGGAAGCTGGTAATATTGGGTCTGGATCAGATCAAGCGCGGCCGCGGACCCATTGTGGTCAAGACCGTGGCGGGAACGGTGCTTGTGGCGTTGATGACTAGCGTTTACAGCATAATTAAGATCAAGAATAGTCGGATCGACAAAGCTGCTATTGTTAGTCCCACCGATCAGGTCCTCATGGTCAAGCACCTGCTTGAAGCCACTCTCATGGGTAATTTTTCAATTTTTATCTCTTTTTTTGGGTTCAGTTACTTCAACTTTATGGTATCTGGGTAAGTCTTACTTTTTGTTTTGTGGCATTCTCTGATATTAATTTGAGTGTGGATTTCTTGAATGTACATTTGTTTGATTGTCGTTTTTCCTTTATGAACTTTGATTGAAATGTGCTTGCTTTGATGGAATGGGGGAATGAGATGGCTGACCAAGATTGTAGCTTTGTGCCTTCATATATTTAAATCACTGTTTCGTTAATGACACTAACTGGTAAGTGAAATTAGCTATGTTTTCTGGATCTTGTTAAGTTGTTTCTGAAAAGCCATTTTCTTTTGCCTGTTTTACTCCCTTATAAATCTGATTCCAAGCATTGAAGTGTTGGTGGCCTGAGTGTAAATTAAGTGGTTTCAAATTCACGGGCTGTCCAAAACCTACGTGCAGATAGAGAATTTCATATTCCTCAGTATTTACTCACCACATGATTGGATAGAAAAACTTCAATTTGTTTGAATGCTCTATTACGGTTGTTGATATAGAGTTAGATAAACCATGGCACCATTTTGTTTGGCTGGAGATGAGATGTAATGATCAGAGCTACTGGTGAATTTTACGTCACGTTCATTTCTGTGCCAATTATGAGTAATGCCCGTAATAAGCCTAGGTACCTTGATACATCCCCTTAGAGCAAGAAATCAAACTATTTTTTTCTTAATTAAAATTTTTTGTTAAAGAAAAGAGAAGGGTTTGAAAGGTAATATAAGTCATTCTATCTGGAAAGAGCATTGATATTGTAGACATCAATATCATAGCATCAGCTCCGTTTTTGTGTAGGTTGTGTTAGCATAGAAGTATATTATTTGCAGCAAGAGTCTTGCATTTTCTATCTTTTTTTAATGCATTTTTCAGTTTTCATTATGTCAATAGTAGTATGGTTAGATATTAACTGCAACCATGAAGGGAAAAAACAGAAAATATGTGCTTTGTCTTGTAGTTTTAAGAGGTAACTAATGTTTTGTGGATTGCATTGTGGTCATATTGTTACCATTGTTGTTCACTAGCTGTTCATTTCAGCGCAGAGTTTCATGTTTCATGATTTACTCTTGCTCACTGATTATCTTGTTAGGCATTAACCCATTTGTGTTGCCCACTTGCAGGATGCTCCCTATTTCTTGCTCTTATGATAGACAGACTACACCACTATATTAGAGAACTTCGTATACGAAGAAAGAGCATGGAAGCCATTAAGAAACAGAACAGAGGATCTGAGGATGGCAAAGCTAGCAGTTTGGATGAGATCAAAGCCTTGGAGAATGAGATAGCTACATCGCGCACAAGACTCAAACAGCTAGAATCTGAAATTGAGACAAAGACAAAAGACGTTCATACTGCAGAATCCAATGTTCTTGCTCTAAGAAAACAATCGGAAGGGTTTCTTCTTGAATATGATCGATTACTTGAGGAAAATCAAAACTTAAAGAACCAGTTAAAGTCGTTGGACCGGAAAATGTCACGTTCAGGTAGTAAGAAAGATTCATAAGCGATTTTGCCCGCCTTTTGAGATTTTTTGTTTGTTATTTATTTTTCATAGTGGTTGTTTTGGAGTGCTATAAGATGGGTTTATTTGATTACATTTACATTGTCATATATGCTAATTGCGGAGAAAATGGAATAGAAAAGAGAAGAACAAAAGAAAAAGAGAGAAGAGGTAGGCTTACTACTTTGTGTGATAAATGTAACTAGAAGTTGAGTGTTGAAGTAGAATGGATCCATTATTCAATTTTGTCTTGAAAAGTTGTGATACATTTTGAACGTAATAACTTAATGATAGAGAATTCTTACCTGATTTTTTATATGCAGACGTTTTTTTAATTAAAAAAAATGTATATTTTCTAGTTAGCAACTATTTTGACACAAATTACGAGCACATACATGGTGTTTGATGATTAATGATTTTGAATGACTTGTGTTGGGCAAACATGAGTTTGGCCAATTGGCTATGGCAGCATGTCCACTTCTTTACACTCACTCAAGTTCAAACTTCCTTCTTGAACATTAGAGTAGTTTAGAATATTGCGTTGTCCAAAAAAACCTAAAAACTAAAACAATTTCTTTTGTTTTGATTAATCTAGAAACATTACCCATATAAATTGTCAAAAATAATGGCAAGTGACCATAGTATTGGATATAAGGACATATATATATATCTTGAGAAAAAGAAAAGGAAAAGGAAAAGGAAGAGCAAAAAAAAAATTGCATATATATATATATATATATATCTTGAGGAAAGAAAAGGAAGACTATTGTTTTGTTATTTCTTTTTTCTTTTGGGTCGGTTAAACTTAATTCAACAAAGGCACGAAACGAAGAGGGCCTAAAACATAACAAGAGATGGCCCAGAGAAACTAAACAAAGACAATCGACCTCCCCTACATGGATCTAGAGAGCAATTTAATTTCTGATAAAACTTCGTACAAACTAGAATGAGAGAGAGAGAGAAACAAATAAGAAATTTTAAGTAACTCACGTGTTATAATTTGTGTGAGCGACAAAGTTGATAAATCATTGATTTAGGTTATAGAAACAAGTGTTGTAGTAATATCATGTAATAGTGTAATCGTCACACCGAAAAATTACTCAAATTAAGAAACTATATTTTCTTCTTTAATATTGAAATATAATGTGGTAAAGAAAACCTTATAATTTTACTAAAAAGGTTTAAAATATTTGGACCCAAAAAAATATGTTTAAAATAATAGAACTCTCATTGTCAACTCGAGGGTATGAAATGTCGATGTTGTCATATTAATCTTAAGTAAAATCAAATAATAAATCTTCAATTTAAGGGTAAGATAGTAATTAACAGCTATTTATTACAAACTTTTTCAAATATTGTTGATGAAAGGAAAAGGATGAGGAAAAGGGATAAACCAAGTAGCAATAGGAATTATAATTAACACAAGAACTTTCCCTTTTTTTATTGGTCGAAACACACTTTCATTGAAAAGGAAAGGAGACAAACCAACACAACAGCCTCCAAAAAAAACACAACAGGAGCAACAGCTGCAGAACTCCCGCGCAACACTTCAAGGAGCTTTCCCTTTCCTTTTCCCTTTCCATTTCCCTTTCTTCAGTCTCCTTAGTTTGATAGGATTCCTAACTCACCCTTAATTACTAATACATCAAGGAAATTGCCCATAAGGCCTAATCTGATACATATATATAAACACAATCCGTTGTAGCTTTCAATTCATCAAAAACTAATATAGTTTTTTAGAGATATTTTCAACACTGAAAATATGAACACGTTAGCTATGAGGAGTAATCATGTTTCGTTGTTTTGGCTCATTATTGTTAAGAGCATACTCAGGTTGTTCTGCTTTCTGCACTATGTTAGGATGATTCAGAAGCCTTTGTCGCCTGTCGTCAGCTACTCCCAGTTCTTTGACTACTTCATTGATTTAATTCTCATTGGTAAGTGTTTTTTCTTTGCTCAATCACTATATGTTGGTTTTGGTGGATAATTTCATGTTCATTGAATTGTTGATTTTTTTTAATATTTTAATATTTTGATTTTGTATTATAAATCCCTCCATTTAAAAATCCCTAATTAGTTGTGCGTGAATATTAGTGTCCCTAGTATAAACTAGCATGATATATTTTAAGTATTTTTTTATTTTGATTTTGTATTATAAATCCCTCTTATTTTTCTAACACGTGTCCTGTTAACTAACAGAAGGTTAACTCTCTTTAATATGTCAATTTTATTAAAATTTTATCAAATAATTCGTTCATCTTCATCTTCCCTTTTATATAAAAAATAAAAAAAAATCATTCGTCTTCTCTGCAACCCTCCGCAAACAGCACACCTTAGCTGCAGCCCCCTCTACTCGTCACTGCTCCAAGCCTCCCTTTCTCTCTCTTTGAATTTCTGTACCCTATGAAGATAGTCTGAACTCAACCCGACCTCTTCTCCTACTTCGAATGCATCATCAACCACTGCCATAGATCTCTCTGTTCCTTTTGGATTTTTTAATGTCTTTAAACTTGTTTCTTTGATCGGTCGATCATCAACGAGACAAAGCCTGAGAACAATCGCACCTCGAGATCACTACGGAGAAAACGAAATTTAAAGTTTTTTATACCAAAAATTAAAAAAATAAAATAGTTCTCAGTTCTCCCAACGTTTTGGGGTTTTTGTTTTGGGATTTAGTAGTGAGAGAGTCGAGAGTGTGATGACGAAAGGCGCATGCTTCTTGTTCCAGATCTGTTTCCTCTCAAAACCTTCAGATTCAGATCTTCACCGAGAGAGAGAGAGAGAGGGTAGGGTCGGCTGTTGCATTTTTGCTTGGGTCGCTGTTGGGTTTCTGCTTTTTTGTTATTTGAAATTTCTTTTCATTTTATTTAAAGTTAACAGTGCTGTGTTTCATGTTAAGAGAGAGGACGGGTGTCAGAAGAATAAGGGGTAAACAGGGTGGGCACAGGGAAAAGGGAAACAGGAAAATTGGACTCTACTGTTGCATGTGTTGTAGGGCAATGTCTGATTTTATTTTATTTTTCTTCTTTTTGAGTTTGTATTTGATTTTGCTTTTTGATCTGTTAGTTAAAATATTTTCGTCCACTTGCAGGATTATGCATATTTCTTGATTTTGTGATGCACGAAGTATGTCAGGATATCAGAAAATTTCATAGACAAATAAGGTTGGTGGCAAAACTGCGCAAGAGATTCGAAGAGAACGATAATGGTTTGTTTGGGGAAAAAGAAAACCAATTGCAGTTTTTGAGAAGAAAACTGAACCATGTAGAATACGAACTTAGGACCAAAACCAAAGAGCTTGTTGTTGCAGAAGCCGATGGTTCTTCTCTAAGTAACTTATTCAATAAGTTACATATTGAGCAGGGTATTGTAGTGCAGGAAAATCAAAGTTTGAAGAATGAGTTGAAATCATCGGGCATCAAACTTCAACAGCTACAATCTGAACTTGATGAAATGACACAAGAGGTTTTGGCAGGAAATAACTATGCTAGTGCGTTACAGAACATATCCGAAGAGGCTTTCCTCAACCACAATCGTTTATTTGTTGAAAAAGAGAAGAAATTGCAGTCATTGAGAACAAGGCTTGATCAACTAAAATTTGAACTTGAGAACAAAGAGAAAGAGGTTGCTGTTGCAAAAGGCAATAATGATGTTCTAAGGAACATATATGGAGAGTTACTTGAGGAAAACCAAAGTTTGAAGAGCCAGTTGCAGTCATATGACAACAAGTTCAAACAGCTAGAATCTGAAATCGAGAATAAGACAGAGTTTGATCATGTTTGCGAATTGCAGTTTTGGAAAGCAACGCTTAGCCAAGTAGAATATGAACTTAGGATGAAAACCGAAGAGCTTGATGTTGCGGAAGCTAATATTACTTCTCTAGGTAACTTATTGAAAGAGTTGCATACTGAGAAAGACATTGTAGTGCAAGAAAACCAACAGCTACAATATGAACTTTACAAAAGGACACAAGAGTTTTTGGCAGAAAATAACTATGTTAGTGCTTTACAGAAAAGATCTGAAGAGGCTTCCCTCAACCACCGTGGTATTCTTGCAGAAAAAGAGAAGCAATTACAATCATTGAGAATAAGGCTGGACCAACTAGAATTTGAACTTGAGAACAAAGAGAAAGAGGTTTGTGTTGCAGAAGCCGATACTGATGTTGTAAGGAGACTATTTGGAGAGTCACTCATTGAGCAAGGTGTTGTAGTTGAGGAAAACCAAAGTTTGAAGAGCCAGTTGCAGTCATATGACAACAAGCTTAAACAACTAGAATATGAAGTCGAGACAAAGACAAAGGCTAATATTATTGATCTAAAGGAACATTTTGAAGATGATATTCTTGAGTATGATCAGTTACTTGAGGAGACCAAGATCTTAAGAAGCAATTAGAATGGGAGATTGTCACAGACTCACAAGGTAGCCAACAAGATTAATTAGGGGGATTGCAGATCTTTCAAGATGTTTTTTAGTTATTTACTTTTCATGACAGTTATTAGGGAGTTTTATTTTTCAGTGTGGAAGGCTGAGGCACCGATATTGATAATACGCCTACTCCTAACTTTTGTTTTGTAAAAATATTTCATGGACAGCAAGAATAAATTGTCAGTCCATTTTAGTTTAATCTAGTTTATCTATTTTTTTTTATAAATAAAATATTATGAACGTGTTTTTTTAATAAACAAAACCAATTTCTTAGGCAGAAGGAATATTTGGTTTTTAAAATTAATTTCCAAAGAATCCGAAGAAATCTTCATTCTATTCCAATATTTGTCGTAAACTGTTGCTCTACATTTTAATTGATTTCTCAATTTTAACAATGGCCTAGTAGGCCTTGGTGGCATTTCCCCTCTCATCCTATGGTGTGAAGGTCTTGTGGTTCATTCAAATGCCTCACGTGGATGAATTAAAATACACGTAAAGTGTTTTTTTTTTTTTTTTTTTTTTTTTTTTTTTTTTTATATTTCAGTTCTTATGTTCACTTTTGTATGAATATGTTTTCCACATTTTATCTCGTTTTTATATTTTCTTTTGATCTTTATATATGCAAGCGTTTCACAAATTCACTACACTGTTTGCATCACTTATTTTTCTTGTGTCCATGGGTGGAGAGAGTGTAGTCCGTGTGGTATTTGGTTTGCCAGTAGTAGTACTATCCACACTAAAACCCAGAGTTACAAGAGTCGCAACCATTTATAGGTGGCTATTGGGCATGTCAAAAGCAAACCAAACAAAGTTTTTTGCCGTCTTTGGAAATTTTGGTTAAGCTTTTGACAGGTGGGTGTCCAGAGACACATCTTGGGTGTCCAAAAAACTAACTCTTTTCTAAAATAGACAACACTATGAAATGAAGGTATGATGGGTCATGCCTAGGCTGTGTGAAAGAATAAGAGAAGGAAAACCGTGTATAATTATAAGGAGCTGATCAATAAACAACCTTAATTCCTTGTTTACAAAATTCAGATTTCCACAGAAAACATATTGGTTACATTTGGAGGTTGTCCAAGCCCTGCTCTTCTTCCTCTGTCTACTGCTAAAATTAGCTGCCTCACTAGTGTCTAAACCCAACCCACCACTACTAGTAGTTTTTGCATTTGTTTTTGTTGGCTGAGGCTTGTCGTCATAAATATCATTGGCTTTATATTCGTTCCAATGGAGCGTCGTATCTGGATGTTCAATGTCGTTGCTTCTCACTGTGGCCCAAGTATCTTCATCATCACAAGGCCAATTGGTCACTCCTGAAAACGATGCCGCTTTGCTTTCACTCAACAGTCGGATCCTTCCCCTAGCCGAATTTGAGCAACCACTTTGATGGGTCGGTTCCCAAATGTGTTCCAAACCCAAATCAAACTCCTCCTCCCACAAACCATGATCTAGCACAGCTGTGGGACTGAGCAAATAATTGGGTGCCTCAAGTAAAAATCCATGCTTGAGAAGCTCACTAGCTGACCACCTCTCCATTGGGTCCCTCATCAAACACTTGGTGACAAAGTCCCTGCCTTGCTTCGACAGAGAGCTTGGTATCTCCGGCACTTCACCGGAAAACCCGATTCGGTACATGGCCGATACAGGGTCGGAAACACAAGGCCACGGAGCCCGCCCGGTGGCCATCTCGATCACCGTGCATCCCAGAGCCCACACATCGGCGGCGAGTCCCTGTTGCTCTCCGCGAGCCACCTCCGGCGCCATGTACACAGGTGTCCCCCCAGTTGGCAACCCATGATCAAAATTTACGCGCTTGGCGCAACCCAAGTCAGCGAGCTTCACGTCCGCCCCATTATTTGTGACCAAAACATTCTGACCCTTAATGTCGCAATGAGCAATTTGATTAGAGTGAAGGTGGTGCAGCCCAAGTAGAATTTGCCTCGTGTAGGATCTGATCGCGGCCTCGTTTAGACACCCGCCTTGCCTTCGAATTGCGTCGGAGAGTGTGCCTCCGGGTGCGTATTCGAGGAAGAGATTGTAGAAGACGGTGCCGTTCTCGGTGGAGGTGTTGCAGCCTTTGTATGATACAATTTGGGCAGAGCTTAATGTAGACAGAATTGTTTGCTCCATCTGAAGAGAGTGTGACTGTGAGAGCTTGGCTGACTTGACTGCGAAAAGCTCACCGGAGCCATGAGACTTGGCAATGGAGACGGTGGCAGAGGAGCCATGGCCAATGGTTGGTCCCCTGGTCCAGTCCATTGGGAAGATTTTACAGGTTAGGTAAAATGGTATGTGTTGTTTTTGTTTGGTGGGAGGAGCTGAATTATATATGTATAAGCAGAGGGCAGGGAAAGCAGAGAAGCCAGAGAGAGAGGCAGAGAACAAAAAGGGGGGTGTGGCGAGAAGAGTGTGGGGTTTGCTTTGGTATGAGTTTGGCTTTTAAGTTGGGCTAAAACCTTTCTCCAGCCTTTCGGCTTTTGGACCAATGGGCGGCCGCCGTCTCTCTACAAGTCATGTGAGGCTTCCACGTGGCAAAAGGAGGGTGCAAATTGCAATGTTACTAGTTTGGCCGGCGGTTACTTAGTTTAGCTTAGCTTAGCTTGGATAAGATTAGATTAGGTTAGCTTTAGGATAGGAGGTATATGATTAAATATGATTAAAGTAATTCTATGCGTTTTGGTGTGCAAGTGGTGACGTAGATAGCGGTGTTAAAGTGCATTTTCAATGAGGCAAGGCATGTCTCCTTGCCGTTGTCCTCCTTACTCCTTAATGGATAATGAGCATGCACGCATGAATGTATGCATGTATGTGTATGTGTATGCACAAGTACAATGGATTGGATTTGGATCATTTCATGGGATATTCTTATTAGCTTAAGTGTAGAGATTAGGTTGACTTTAATTCATGACTCTTTGGTGTTTGAATAGTCTCTCAAGTAGAATGCCACTAGGCAATGATCAACGATTGTTTATCCCCAAGTTTGATGGAGAATGTGTGCCCATTAAAAATAAGTCCTTTTTCTCCTTTCTTAAAGGAAGGAATAATAATGTATCATTTTTCTTAAAGAAAAGGCTCCCGACTTGCAAGTTTGCCAAACTCATTTTTCTTATCAATGAGAAAAATGATATGGAAGGAAAAGAGAACAACTGAATAAGATAAAGAAAGCGGTTGAATGAGATCAGAGCAACCAACTCAAGCAAGTCCAAAAGGCAAAGGCTTTGTGCGCATAGCATTAGAGACTTGAGTGGACAGTTGGGATAAACTTGTACAAGCCGCCAAACCAAACCCAGCTCACATTCTCTCTCACACACCAACGCCAACGCCAACACCACCAACCAGTCTGGTCCGTTACAAACCAAGAATCATTGTACGAAGTGAGTTGCAATTGCAGTCCTTGTATTGTAGCTCAGCTCACAGTTACCTTTTTGCTTTTTTTCATTTGGACGGTTCACGGCGGTTGTAAGCTTTGGACGTAAGCCTTTTGCGTGTGCAATATTATATGAAATGTGCATGCACTTATGAGGAGTGTGTGAAGTGATGATTGATGCCTTGCCTTGCCTTGCCTGAGCCTTTACCCTTGTGATTTTAGGTCCCTCCTTCTTCTTCCCTTCTAAGCAACCCAATCATTTTAACGGCTGGCTGCCTTTCTTTTTTCACATGCCACCTACCCATTCCGTCCTTTCTTTGCCTTCTTTTACCTCCTCTCCTTTTATTGTCAGCTTTCGGCACTTCTTTTCAGACCCCACATTGTGCTTCATGCTAACAAGCAACAAAAGGTTAACGAAACTTGTGTCACCTACCCACCTTTAAGCAATTCGCTATTTGTTTATTTATTTATTTTGATATGACTAGATAATAAATTAGGCTTTCCGATGAAGAAATATTTCCCTCTTTTTAATAACATAAGTTTTTGGTATTACTCCCACCTCATCTTCATCACAAGCCCCATTGGGTCGGGGGCTCCTGCCTGGAACGCCCCTCCACTCCACCCCATCAAACTATCATTCTTGTGTGGCTTTTGGTTCTGGAGATACAAGTGAACAAGTTTCTTATACGCAATACATGGCTTTGAGAACAACCAGTAAATAATGTCACTAGGCTTCCCCCTTATCATTCAGATTCTGTCCTGATTTGGTTATTAAATAATCTTGCAATCTCTTGCATTTGCTAATCTCTTCTGTACTTGTCGACTCTTTGGCCATGATTAAATTTGAAGAATGTCGACAAGTTGTCTCTCTTTAGCAGTTCATGCCTTTCTTTAATGAACAACTCTCTGCTCTCAAACTTATAAGATAACACTGAAGATTACAAACACTTATCTTATATTCACAAGCGCTACATTTAGGCTGGGGCCAACACCTCAACTTTCGAGTTTCAAATTACATAGAGATACACAGACAGCAAGTAAACAAGATGCGCAAGCAACAACTAATTTATACAAGGGCCCAGGGAAGAGGTTCTTTACGCTGCCTCTGCAAATCCAACTCTCATATTTCCAGAATCAAAGACAGTGTGGTAGCGACCCATGAAGATATCTCCCAAGATCCTGCATTGCAGTGCCGCAAGTGAGAATCAAAACAAAAGTTTCACCATCTATAAAGCATGACAAACAATGACATGCGCTTTGAGGCAAAAAGACCAAGTGTTCAATTATATGATTATACCAGAGAGGTCCCCGGGGAGGAGGGATATCGATATTAGTGAAGCCACTTATGCACTGAGCTTGAGGACCCTCACCCACCTTAAGTATGTACTGCTCAAACAAACAGAAAATTTGGGCGTTTAAGTGCAAAGGTATCCTTCACTGCAACTTTAAACATGTAAATCCACAGGGCAAGCATAACAATATGTCAGGAAAACGTATATAAACTATAGTCTATTGATCAAGAAACAATGGTTTAATTAGAATTCAAACACTTGTTTTTTCTATTCTTTTAAAAGAGAATATGAGATTCCTCATTCACTGATCTTAAACCTGGGGGAACCAGATAGCATTACATAAAAGATCAGAAGGAATAGCAAACATATAGCTAAGGATAAGTTGGGATGCTGTCATACCTCGTTCGGGGTGAGCTTAAAAACTTTACCACCAATGGTGAAGGAAACACTAGGCATGGAAGAAAGCCTTCCACAGTCAACAGCAGATTGCCCCATTGGGCTTGGCATCCGTTCACAAAGCTGCAGAGGTATACTATTGTAAAGCCAGAAAGAGACACAATTCTAGTAAAATTTTGATCAAGTATCATGCAACTACTTCACCTCATTGACGTAGTTCAAAATACGATCTTGCGTCTGGTTCTGCCCAAGTTGGTTTTTCATCCAGACAACCGCCATCTCACAAGCAGAGCACGAAGCATCATGAAGAATGCCAGAAGATTTCCCGTTGCTCTTATCCACCACACTCTCAATGCCCATACTATAAAGACACAACAATGAACCAACAAGTTTATTGCCCAAGGCAGCAACCAATTTCACATATGACAACAGTGACAGACATCACAGTTTTGTTCCCTAATAACATAAAAAGTAAATATAGGGAATTCAAATAAAGCATTGAATAAAGAGCGCAAGCCCAAATAAAAGAACATTTTTTATGCTGACCTAACACTACGAGTGCCATCAAAGGTGCACAATCCAATTTGGGAACAAACCTTGTCTGGTCGGGCCTGTTGGATAAAATATGCAGGACAAAGTGAATTATGATCAGCTCCACTCATGACAAGATATAAGCATCTATAACTGAATTTTATTTCACAAGAAAAAAAAAGTAAACTAGAATAGCAGTTACTTTTACCTCAGCCAAGAGCAGATTCATAATGGTTTGCCCATACTGTTGAGCAACTGCCTTGCATTCCTGGCTAACAACACCCTCGGCTCCAATGGCTTGATTTATCATGGTAATCACAGTCTTCAAGTAGAGAGGGAGAGAGAAATTAATCAAGACGAAAATCATTACTAGTGCAGTCACAAAACTTTGCCCAAAAAAAAAAAGCAGTTTTAAGTGCAGTGATAAAAACAAAAGAAGAAAAAAGGGCTCAGAATTCTCATTTTAAAGGTTTATAATGAAAAATTACAGGGCACAACCACTAAATAAATAAAGCATATATAAGAATTTCATGAAGACACTAAAATTTTCACATGCAGGGTCGTGGATTCAACAATAAAAATTCCCATAACCAACGCACCAAAAAGGGAAAAAGGAGAAAGAGAAAAAAAGAACACAAACAGAAACTAGAAGGATATAATGGACAGAAGTACTTCATTAGATCTATATACGCGAAGGAAGGTGATTAACATGCTCATGTATAACTGGCCTAGTTGACAAGTGTGAGAACTTAATTCTTCAAGTGCAAATCAAAACAACTTCATTTCTCATTTTATACTTCTACAAGAATATTCAGCCTGAGAAGTTAAAGGGTGAACAAGAACTAGCTAATCAAACAAGCTCGACAAAGTTATATAGGTGGAACATGCACAACCAAAGAATTGATTAACAGAAAATCAAAGTAACAATTAAAAATTGGATTACATACTGTTGGACCTGCCAAAAGAGAAGTTCCTGAATCTGCAACGGCAAAACAGCCACGAGAACAATATCCTGAACAGCAGTATGGTTAAGTCAGAAAAACAAGGGGCCATGTACATAACATTCAGTGCACACGCTTTTTACTGTATTGTTTGTCATTTTATTGAAGTACGCTGCTTTAGGCATCAAGAAGGTACATACCAGTTGGTTTACCACCGATAAGAACATCACCCATGTCAAACTACCAAAAGAGGGAAATGAGTAAGAAAATTGGGTCAAAATAAAGGTACCATAATATGAAGAGAAAAGAAAAGAAAGTATCAGACTTCCACATTGGATATAATTGTTTCAGTTCCAACCTGCCAGTAGCCTTTCTTCGTTACAGGAACATATGTATGCTTGCCCTTAAAGTGATTTGGATCAACTCCGCCAAACACAATTTCACCGCCTTCTTCTTCTTGTGCATTACGATTAAGCCAAAAGGAAAATAGTGGTTCCTTGATAAGACCTTGTTCAATCATGTTGTACCTAAAATAATACGTATCCCATCTCAAACACTGAATACTGAATAATGAACCTATTTATTTATTTGTTTCTGGAAAATAAAAAAACTAATCAATGAAAATTATAGATACAAGTGCATACCACACTGGGACAGCATTTCCAACCGAAATCTCTTGAAATCCAAGTCCTAATAAACCATCAAACTTGGCAGCCAAAAATACGAGACCAGGCTCACTAGTTGCTTCGATAAAGTCCTGAAAATGTACAATCAGTAATGAGAACAGTTGAATCGAAACACTGGACTGGGAGAGAGGAGAGATAAGGTGAGAGGGGGGGACGGAGTTTGGAGTTATGATTACCTGGTTTTCAACAACGATGTCCCCAACTTGAACATTGTCGTTACTATAGAAACCTGAAATGGCTCCAGTACCATACTGGATAGAAGCAGATGTCCCTGCACAGCAGCGGACAAATATTATACCATACAGTTAACCCAAAAACAAAAGTTGAAGCATTCACATGATAATTGTCCTGTCATGCCCAGTTACTGTGTTTTAGAAATTAGGATTCTGCTGAACCATTAATCTGGATAGGATTGTTCTAAACCAAAGCCTTTGAATGAATGATGCAATCTATAAAACATATTTTTAGAAGCAGTTACGGGTGAGCACAACAAACCATTCTTCTTGTATGTACTCGATTTGCCTGACTTGTAGTTGGCATGGAAGTAACATGCAACCTGCACCCAAATGAAAAGCCATGATCTTGTTGTCTCATGCCAAGTTCTTTACACATCCAATAAGGGGGGTGTATCCAATTCATACTTATAAAGATTTTTTTAAGTGAGTGACTTTCATAGAGATGACAAATTCTTAAATACTTTCATAGAGTTGATAAAAGTCACTAGTAAATTGGCATGACTTTTGCTCTTAACAATTAGCCTTAAAAGTATGGAAAAGTCATTTATTTAATAAGCTTTTTAAAAGTCATTAACTTTTTGGATACCACCAAACTTTTAAATACTTTTTAAAAGTCATAACTGAATACTACCAAACTTTTAAATACTTTTTAAAAGTCACAATTGAATACCACTAGACTTTTATATACTCTTTAAAAGTCTAAATTGAATATCTCCAGACTTTTAAACTCTATAAAAGTCATTAAAAGTTTGACTTTTTTTAAATTTACAGCAAAGTATAAATGTTAAAGCTCACCGAGAAATGACACTTGGATGATGGAACCCACAGATTAGCGCTTCCGGTGTCAAAAATCACAGTGAACGTCTGAGGGGGAGTACCAATAGCAATCTCACCATAGTACTGAGCATCCAAGTAGTTCTTTAGTGAGACAATATCAATATCCCCAGAGTCTTCAAGATTAGCAGGTAGATGGTATTTTCTAATAGAGGCTCTCAAGGCTTCTACATTCTTGGATTCCAGCTGTGCAGCAACCCGGTTGTTTGGATCCAATTTTACCTTTTTGAGTCCAATCCTAAACAACCCATCATTGGGTGCAGAGGAAACTAGAGAAAGCAACAAGCTTGAAAGGAACAGAGGCAACACAACCGCTTTAAAAATGGTTCCCATATTGACCTATCAGTTCAACAGAAACCAATAAATGAAAAATCTAATTCTGAAACACGAAAATAGTGTTCGCATCATAGACAATTAAAAACACAGTATTTAAATATATGACATTTGAAAAGCAAACCTCAGCTTGATTCAGCTTCATCTGCCTTTAAACTTACAAGAAAACAAAACACTCAACTAGAAACATGCAACCCTTGACTTGATCAAACTCAAAACCACCATAAATTTCATGTCAACCAAAAAAATACAATGCAGAAAAGATGTACCATTTTCTAGCAAAACACGAGAAACCATTGCTCACTATCATGTTACCTAGTATAAGTGAAAGAAAATAATCGGAAAAATTAAATCAAATAGAGAAAATGTATTCACCGTTTTAATTGTCGCAGGCTCGCAGCAGCAGAAGAGAAAGAGAGCGAGGGAAAGCTGGTGAAGAAACACCAAAGAAGAAAGTCTCTTTAAAAACAAGAAAAACAGAGGACCTGTCACTGTTTTAGACCCAGTGGGGTCCAGCTAAGCTCACCCTCTTTGTCGCGTATTGGTATCAAGGATGTTGATCTGAGCCGTCCGTTATTGGCCTTTAACGGTCGATAACCTTTGGGCAAAGGCACGATGGTCTCGTTTCGGGGACATTTTACAAAATGAAGGGTGATTAAGGGTTAAGGGGACATCATCGGAGGGTGGGTGACGTGGGTCGGTGAGATAAGGATAGGTTCTGGCTATGCGCGAAGGAAAACGGCGCGGGAATATAGCAGTGGCGTTACAACGGAATGCTTACGTGTCATGGGTTTAGAAATTTGGTTGCTTTAGCACGCGACACCTCCTCTTGCTTTCTTGCCTGCTCGGCCAAGTTTGGGGTCCACACACTGAGCTGTTTTGTTGGGTTACACAGTTACACATGAAATTTGTCTCTCTTTTTCGTTTTCTGGTTTGCACATGAAATTTCACCATTAAAGGTGCTGATGAGGGTTATGTTTGAGTAAGCACTTCTAAATGATCTCCTGATAAGTATTTCAGTTTTTAGTTTTAATGTGTAGTCGATAAAAACGCTTGTGAGCAGAAATACTTTATATTCAAATAATGTAGATATACTAATAGCTTGTTAGTTTGTAAACAATTTCCTTTTGGATTTCTATTTAAAAAACATGAATTTAATAATGGTGGAGGGAGGATTGGACAATTGAAATGATTAAATATACAAGCAAAGAGAATAGATGCTTGGGGTGATTGCTAGTGTAAGGCCAAAGGGTGATTGCTGCTGAGTGCAATAAAGAAAGTGCTTCTCTCCAATCCAAGGCACGTCTGCTATTCTTTTTAATTTGTTCATTCTATTTTATCCTTTATGCTCCTTTGTTTGATGGATGACCACGTAAAAAATTTCATTTGGCGATATTCTACTTGATGTAACAAACACAAAGCTGGACTTGAGTGTTTTTTTTATTTTTTATACAAGCGATATTTTACTTTAATTTAATCTAAACTATGAGTAGGGGAATTCAAATTCAGGTGCAGAGAAAGTACCTCCGCCGTTCTAACCAACTTGGTTAGTCTATATCTGCAAACTTGACTTGAGTTGAGGGCCCTTTTCTTATTTCGTTTGTGTTTTGAAGCCCACCATTGGTTGAACTTGAACGGAACTAGTTAAGTATAGATGTTTGACGAGGGCCCAGATTTAGAGCTTGGGCTTCTTTGGGCAGACTCTGCCTGAGCCAGTCTATGAAGGTCTATCTTGTTGCCTTCGTCTTTCTTTCTTGATGCAGACAAGACTAATAGCTATTAGCTGAGTAAGACCATTTTGGAAGCAAGACAGCTCGTTCTATATAATTTTATCACGCAACAACAAGACTCTCTGTCAATGAATAAAATTATTTGAACTATATTTATTTTTAAATATTAGAATATATATTTAAATAATTTGTATATATTTAAAGAATATAATTTCCTGTTTGACGAACCGAACAATGCGGATAAGAATTCACATGAAGAAGAAAACACTAATCACAACGTACAACTCCCAACAATGAGCGTTAATGATCAACCAACTCTCACATCAAGAAATAAAAGCACCAATTCCTTTGATAGCTGCTCCTACCAATTCCTAATCCACTTGCAAGTTGCAACACACACACATCTTCTTTTAAATCTCGATATCCTTATCCAATTCTCTGCATGCTCTATAGAATAGAAACCTTTCTCTCTCATGTAGCAGTTTGTGCTAAAAAAATCTAGAACCATTTCTAGTTTCTTTATGGTTTCATTGTTTTTATTTTTTATAATTTCTTCAGCCAATGTAGCTAATAACATAAAAAAACAGTTTGGTTAATGAGCAATACAAAGTTCTCACATAATCAACGGTACCGTATCCAGCAAACACGAATAGAAGATTCTTTATCTGTATAGCCGCCGCATCCAAGCGAGCTACAGGACCTGCATCCATCCTTTCCCATTTAAATTATGGTCCAGGCAAATCAGCGAAAGTTGCTGATAAAACTCTCACAGGAGCAGTATTGTTTTTATGATTTCCCTAAATCTAACAAAATAGTGGTCAATATTCAGAGCTGAAACAAGGGCAGGAGCCCGATTGGAGGCAATGGAGATATAGGAATTAGCAAAACGAGGCGAGGAAGCCCACCATATGAAATCAGCAACCAGAGCAAGTTTCAATAGGCCGAGTTGAATAATATAGCCGCGCGGCTATACTATTAAATTCATAAAATATAATTTAAGAGTATGGCTGATCGGCTTTAATATTAAAATATTAAAATATAATTAAAGTGTATAGCCGGTCGGCTGTACTATTAAAATATTCAAATATAATTTAAGAGTATGGCTGATCGGCTTTAATATTAAAATATTTAAATATAATTAAAGCGTATAGCCGGTCGGCTGTACTATTTAAATATTCAAATATAATTAAAGCGTATAGCCGTCCGACGTCTAAAATATTAAAATATAATTTAAGAGTATAGCCGCCCGGCTATACTATTAAAATTTTGAATTTTTATCGAAAGCAGATTTAGAGTTTGGGCTTCTTGGGCCAGACTCTACTGTCGTGGTTATTTGTGTTCTTATGTTAACAGTGAAGGCTGGCCCGGTGTATGAAGGAATTGTTGTTGCCTTGGTCCTGAAAGACCATTTTGGAAGCAAGACAGCTCGTTCGTTCGTTGTATATATTTTATCATGCAACGAAGAAGAGAAGACTCTCTGTCAATGAATTAATAAAATTATTTATTTATTAATATTTATGAAGAGATGATGTTTCGAATATATGAATATGGTGGGTTTGATTTTGGGGATTTTATTGTGTCTGATTTTCAAATATGATGATGTTTCAAAAAAAATTGTTAACTGATTTATGATTTACTAACTTGTGTAACTTGCACTTCACCCACACCAAAACTTGTGTAATGTAAACAAAGTGTGAAACCAAAAGATCCCAAAAGAAAATAACGATTTATCTTTGAATGGAAATATATGGGAATATGTAAAATATTCCAAAAAAATCAGAATTTCTTTCTACAGCTACAGTTTTGTTGTTATGAATTCATTGATTGGGTGGCTGCAGCCTGCAGTAGGTTTGGTATTGGTAGTAATGTCAAACCCTGAAAAACGGTCGTAAATATCTAAACTGCACGTTCGCATCGGATGTCATAAAAATCAAAGTCTTTCCCTTTCAATATGGATCGAGATTTCTTCAGCTGAAGAATAATAATGTAGACTCTTAAGTTACAAGAAAAAGAAAGAGTTCAAACATGAGATGAGATGAAAGACAAGTCTTCTTCCAAATTCCAATTGGTCACACACTCACATGCAAGCGCGTGGATATCATAAAAGACTTGCACTTCCTAACCACCCACAGCCGCCGTCACCACTACCACTACCACCACCACCAATCAAATTATTGAATTTGAAGTCATTGATGGGAAAAAAAAACTTTCTAGTAACGGTGTTATCCCCGTTGCCTGAGCTGAGAGTTTTTGTCCATCAATGGATAGAGTAGTCTTCAAAGAGTAAAAGATCCTCTCTTCCTCTTGTACGGTGGATGAAGTACGGTAGCTGCTGCTGCTGCTGGCCCACAACGCTCCACGTTACGTGTGGCCAATCTTTTCTTTTTTCTTCGTAATGAAAGGCAGTGACGTGATGTCAAACTAAGTGCACAAAAAGTCAACAACGTATCCTATTGAATATTAGCAAGCATAAGCAGCCCACAATCCACGAAACCTACAACCAATCCAACTTGCCTTTTTCTTGTCTCTTCTTCGTTTTGTATGAATTTGACCTCCTCTCTAATTTATTCACACGTTAGTTGCCTGGAAGTCTCTGCTAAGTCTATGGTACACCATTATACGTGTCAAATAGAAATGGCCGAATTCATTGACTTCAGCCGTACCCGCAGTCCTCGGCCTATCAAATGAGAATATTCCACGTTATTATTCCCTCTCTCTCACTTTTTTCTTTGTGGGTTTTCTTGTAAACAACGATTTCCGTTTGTCTGTCTTGCTTGGTATGCTGTGGTCAAAGTTTGTTAATTAATCATCAGATTACAAGGAAACTACATGGAAACCAAAACATGTATGTAGTTCTTGTTGTCATTCATTGGAATAGTAAATGCATATATGTAAACGAAGCTACTTCTTTTCTGTTTTCGTGTGTATTTACTGAAAAATTTGAATCAAATTATTCAAAACAAAAAGGAAAAAAGAAAGAAAGAATGAAGTTGTGATCGATGTAACGATTCTAAACCCTCCCCAACAACAAGAAGAAAAGATATGAACATGCTATCTCATTCTAACCCCAAAAACAGAAGCAGAAACCTGACCGGGACACGGCCAACACTAAAATAAAAATCAACAAATGAACAAAAAATAATAGGTCCCCCAAAATCCTAGTTAATGTCCTGGGAAGCCGCTCATTTTGCTGTTGCTGTTGTTGTTGCCTCCATTGCTGTTGTTGGAGGTCGTCGAGGCGCTGTTGTTGTTGTTGTTCGGATGACCTCCACCGATGATGGAGGTGATGGCGGCCGCAAGAGCAGCAGTGAAAGTTGGGTCGGCAGTTATGGCAGCTGTAGCGGCACTCACTGTGTCAGCGAACGAGGCAGACTGAGTTTGATGCGGCAAATGTTGCTGCTGCTGTTGGGAATTAGACCCCATTAAATCCTGGGATAGCTGAAGCCCAGAAAACTTGGATTGGTTATAAAGGGCCTGTCCAAAAACTTGAGGCAGTTGTGGCTGTTGCCCTGGGAAAGGGACTTGAAATTGGGACTGTGGTCTTTGGAACTGTAATGGGGTGGTGGTGAGGTCCAATGTGACAGTAGGGAAAGGAGCTGAGGCTGAGATTGTTGCCACACTTGATGAGCATGGAAGAATTGCTCTGGCTAGCAAATTGTTTGGGTTCATTATCCCATCTGCGCTTGACATGGAGCCCGAAAGCAACATGCTTGCTGCTGCTGTTGTGGTTGATGCCATGGCCATTGCAGCTGGAGGCAGAGGGTGGTTATGGTTGCCTTCATATGTTGTGATCAATATGGTTCTGTCCTCAGCACAACGTTGTACCTATCAAATAATTAACATATGTATATGTATCAGTACTATTAAATCTAACCAGTTTTAATTAAATTTTCAAATTGATCGTAT